GGCCGCAGGTAGGCGACGGGGCCGTAGGGTAAGGGGCACGTCACGGGGCGTGCCGAACACAGATTCGCAGCGGAGAAGCTGTAGGGTGGGCCCACAGGTCAGGACCTTAGTAGCTCTGATAGCATGTCGAAACCTTAGCAAGGCTTAGGAGCCATAGCTAGTGAGGTCGAGTAAGTTGAGTAGAAGGAAAGTGTCGAGCAAGTTTGAAAGGAGAAATGTGTTGAGAGAATGAGGGGTTTCACTATAGGTTCAAGGGTACAAATATGAGAGAACAAGAAAGAAAAGGTGCACCACCAAATAGGAAAACGCTATAAATACAGTAACCAATCCTACAGGCAGTTACATATAGAAAATATTAAATTATATTTTCCGACACTCAGGCAACGATGCGGCGCAGCATCTGGAGTGTGCGCCAAAAGTGCACCGTGGCTTTGTCGGCGTCGGGACCCCTCGGCATCCTTCCCTTCCGCCTGCAATTCGTCACGTGTATTAGGAGTTCAGACACTGTCGGCAACACGACTCGGAAACAAGGATACGAAGGCGTCGACTAACATACCGTCTTCAACATGTCGTCGACGCCGGGGAAGATGTGCTCGGCGAGGAGCTTCAAGAGCTTATCGGAGGGCTCCACCCTGCTCCGGCCCAAGAAGTAGTCGTGCTTGTAACCAGAGTAACCGGCCTTCTTCATCACCACCCCCACCGGAATGGCGGTGATGTACGCTCGCGTCATCTTGTCGAGCGCCCAGTGACCCAGCTCCGCGATCTTGGCGCGCGGCGTGCCGTCGATGGCCAGCTCCTGGGCCCCTCCGGCTCGAGCGGCGTGCACGTTCCTCTTGCAGAAGACCCCGTTTTTTTTCCCACAACTGCCGCGTCCAGCGTTGGTGGCTTGCCACAGAGAGCTCCCCTTGGTCGGTGTCGTTTTTGGCGAAGAAGAGGTGCTTCTTGTACTAGCTTGCGCGTGTGCTGGTGTCCACCGGTGGAATGAGGCGGACGCCGTGAAACTGGCCGATCTGGTCGAGGATGAAGTGCAACCACAGGCCCGTCTCGCCGACGGCGCACAACTCCGCTTCGAGGTGCCGCGCAGCGTAGCTCTGTTGCAGACGCGCATCCTTGGACGTCTTCGAGTTCCGCGCAGCGATGACCATGACGACCGGCTGGTTCTCCGGGTTCACCGACGAGGTGCTCGCCAATCGGTACAAGAATATATCGGGGAGCGTGATCTCGCGGATGCTTGCATCGCGCAGAAGAGAGTGGTGGGAGAGTAGCGTGAGCACCTTCAATAGCAGAAACCGCCATAGCGTCTGCGACGGGCCCGTACCCTGCGGGTTCCACGCCTTGGCCGCCCACGTCGGCAGCACCCTGAACATGATCTGGCGGAACTGCTCGGCGGTGTAGGTATCGCCAATTGTTCAGCGACGCCGATCGGTGCAGTTCCTGCCGACAATGCCGAGGGTGGGGGGCAATTAGGGCGGCGTCGACTCAGTACAAGACAACAAGAGGTTAAACAAAAACTCACTTGATGTCCCGCTCGTTCTTGGTGCGGATCATGAACCGCACCTCTGACCTGACTACCGATATCTCTTGCATGATGCTCAGCTCCGTCTCCCGGTACATCGTCGCCTCCACTCTCGCCGGCATCTGGCATGCCTTTATGCGCCCGAGGAGCGTGTGCACCGTTGTAGATTGCACAAGCTGTGTTCCTGTGGCGTTGTCGCCCTTCTTGTTGGACTCGGCATCGAGATTCAACTCCCGAACCATGTACTTCACGTATGCGCGAAGCCAGGACTTGGTGACCCTAGGGCCGTGCAGCCACACATACGACCGGGGTACATCGGCCTCTTGGTCCCAGTTTTTCTTCTTGTTGTCCCGGATGTAGTGCCCTATCTCGTTGACGTGCTTAAGCCTGTACTCCTGCGGAAGCTTGTTGCGAATTTGCTTCAACATCTTCGCCGCCCACCTCTTGTAGTGATAAATCCACGAGGTGTACTTGCCTCAGCGTGCTGTTCCTCTCCACGGTTTGCAGGTGGCGTAGGGCGTCCAAGACGAGCACGTCGATGGTCGCGTACACCATGTCTTCCTCGACGAAGTCTTGCCGCCCTCCACTGTTCGCGTAGCACCGACAAATTCTCCTGGTCGGCATCCTCGTCCTGTTCGAGCAGATCATCTATGTATTCAAGTTCCCGCCTGAGCCATTCTTCCAAGGTGCGCTGACTAGTGCTACGCGGCGGACGCTCGTCGTTTTCGTCATCGCTTTCCTCCTCCTCCTCCTCCTCCTCCTCCTCCTCCTCCTCCTCCTCCTCCTCCCCCCCATCCTCCTCCTCATCGACCTCAACCTGGTTTCCAGAGCCGGCCGGTGCCGACGAAGTTCCTGGCCGTCCATTTCGCGCCGGATTCAGTTTTTTATTTGTCGGAAACTTGGTCTTTTGTCTCTCCTCTTGCTTTGTCCTTCCCAGCTCAGTACCTTCTTCCTTCTGCCCCTGTCTTTAGTCTAGTGCCAGCCCCTCCCACCTTGTCCCTCCCTTCTCTGTATCCCCTCTCCCTCTGTCTCACCCCATCAAGTTCCTCAACTCTCTCTTCATGCGTTGGGTGGCTACCCCTGCCTTTCCCTCTGTAAGCTCCTGGCTCATGGGCTTCCCTCAGAGTCTCCCTAGCTCGGCTGACTGCCTGAGAACACTGAGTGGGAACCTGCACAAAAGGACTTGCTGGGATGGCTCCTCCGTGGTGGGCTAACGCGAGTAGCGAGTAACTCTTAGCTGATAGAGGAAACATACAAGCAAGCAAATGAAACCGACCCGTGTTGCTTGCCTAAGTATGTGCACATGGTTACCGTTGCCTGCAACGGTTGGTTTTGTTCGTCAGTTCTCTGATTTGGCGCTATTCGCCTCTGCCTACTTCGCTTGAAAACTACTCACTACTGTATCCTGTCATGCATTTATATTGCTAGGTCCTGCTCTCCATTCTTCCAATTAAATGTATGACAGCTGTCGGAAACTTGGTCTTTTGTCTCTCCTCTTGCTTTGTCCTTCCCAGCTCAGTACCTTCTTCCTTCTGCCCCTGTCTTTAGTCTAGTGCCAGCCCCTCCCACCTTGTCCCTCCCTTCTCTGTATCCCCTCTCCCTCTGTCTCACCCCATCAAGTTCCTCAACTCTCTCTTCATGCGTTGGGTGGCTACCCCTGCCTTTCCCTCTTGCCCCCTCCTTGGCGCTAACTCTCGCTCTGGTAGGTATCGCCGATGGACCCCTTTTTTGAAAGGCTCTTCTCTTGTCTGCTCCTTCTACTTGAGAGGGCCTGGGGGTACTCGCGGGGGCCTTGCCTTAGCTACATTCGTCTGATGATCCCTCTTCTCTTGCCCCTTGTCCCCCACTAGTACTACCACTCCCGACTCCTTGACCTCTTTCACTTTCCACCTCTCAGTGCTGAGCCCTATATCCAGCATGTCTTGCCTGGCCTGTTTGACATATACTTCTTCCCCCACCCCCAACAGTGCCCCCTTTGCCCCTGCCTGCTCTTCTCTCCTTCTTTTGTAGCACTGTGCGTCTCTGAGCTGGGCCACATGCAGGTTCTCTAACGCTGCTGGCAGCATCTCCCGTAGGTACCTTGCCCTAACCTCGACCAGCCCCACCCAGGCGTCTTCCGAGCTCACTGAGACCACATCTGTCAGTACCCGTGGCGCGTCTATGGGCAAGATAGGTTCCCTTCCCAGCAGCAGGTAGTACGGCGAGAAGTCCTTTAGCGCTGCCTGCCTACTGAAGCGGTAGCCTGCGAATACCCACGGGAGTCTCAGGTCCCAGTCCTTCTTGAATTGTTCCCCGTAGGCTCTCAGCCCTCTCTTCACCGTCTGCACAAACCGCTCTGTGAGCCCGTCACTCTGTGGGTGATACCTGGAGGTCCGCCGATGGGTAATACTGCTAGCTTTCAGTAGTTTTGCGAAATCGCCCAAGAATTCTGTGCCCTGATCTGTTAATACCTCCCCACATGCTCCGAACCGAGTCAACACCTGTTCCTCAAATGCTTCTGCTATCCGGGCCGAGCTCTTGCTTGGCAGCGCCTTCACCTCCACCCACTTACTGCCGTGTTCGATCATGATGAGTATGAATCGCTTCCCCCTTCGGCTGAGCGGCATTTCTCCGGCCATATCTAACGACCACCGAAACCCCAGGCCTCGGATGGGCAGCGAGTGCAGCTCTTCCCTCCCTCTCTCCATCTCTGCTTTGTTCCTGCTGCATAGTTCGCAAGCGCCCACCCACTCTTTAATGTCTCCCCTCATTCCTGCCCACCACCAGCCCGTCTCTATTAGCTGGCTCGTCCTTAGGCTGCCATAGTGCCCCAACTGCCGGTGTACCCTCGCTATGATCTCTTCCCGTTCCTCTCGCCTCGGGACCAGCTTCCATCCTTCCTTAGTGTTTTTCTGGAGCTGGTCCCGGAACCACCGGTAATGCAGGCCCCTGGCTCTGGCCCTCTCGCTTGCAGGTTCTGCTTCTGAGTTCTTTCCTTGGATCCACCCCAACGTCTCTTCATCCTCCCAGACGTCTTCAGCTCCCTTTTGAGCCTTCCGTTTAGCTCCTTCCCCGTCGATTTCTCTCGCCAAAGCCACGAGGCATGCCTCTGGGCTCGCAGGTGGCGGGTTGCGTGATAGCCCGTCCACGTGTTGCAATGTCTTCCCCGCTCGGTGTCGAATGGTGAACTCATATTCCTGCAGGCGCATGGCCCATCGAGCGTTCCGGCCTGTCAAGGCCTGATTGGTCATCACCCACGTCAGCGGCTGATGATCCGTGACTAACACGAATGGCCTCCCCTGTAGATATACCTGGAAGTGGGTGATAGCCCAGACCGCCGCGAGCCCTTCCCCTTCGTATGAACTATAATTGGCTTCTGCAGGGTTACAGCTTCGGCTCGCAAAGGCCACCACCATCTCCTGTCCGTCCCTCTCCTGGCATAGGATTCCCCCCATGCCTGCACTGCTCCAGTCGGTGTAGAGTACGAACGGGTCTTCCTTACTGGGCAGTGTAAGGACGGTCCCCGTCTTCACCGCCTTAAGGAGGGCTTTGAATGCCCCCTGCTCTTCCTCTCCCCATTGCCACACCTGGTCCTCTCGCAGCAACCTGTTCAGTACTGCGGCAGTACGGCTGAAGTTGGGTACGAACTTCCTGTAATAGTTAAGGAAGCCCAGTACTGCCCTCAGCGTACTGCGGTCCTTAGGGGCGGGGACTCGGTCCAGCACCTCCACTTTCGCTTGCTGGATGCTCAGCTGCCCCCCTTGTACTTCGAAGCCCAAATACTTCACTATGTTGTTCCCGAAACTGCATTTCTTAGGGTGGCAAGTCAGCCCCACTGCTTGAATGGCGTCCAGTGTATCGCCCACGTCCTTCACGTGCTGCTCTGCGGATGCACTGAACACGACTACATCGTCGATGTAGCAGGCTGCCGCCGGCACGTGCCTCAGCACTGAGTCCATCACCCGCTGGAATAATGCTGGCGCGTTCTTCATGCCAAAGGGCATGAACTTCCACTCATACAGCCCCTCGGGTCCGTGGAAGGCCGTTTTCCTCCAGTCCTCTTCCTTGATCGGTATTTGATTAAATCCCTGTCGAAGATCCAGCGTGCTGAACACTACTGCTCCCTGCAGCTGATCGAATATCTCTTCCGCCGATTGCATGGGGTACCTGTCCGCCACTGTCACTTTATTAAGTCCTCGGTAGTCCCCACACATTCTCCTGGCTGATACCTCTCCCGTGAGATCCTTCCGTGCTGCTACAACCGTCGCTGCTGCGTAGTCACTGTCCGAGAACTGGATAAGACCCGCTGCTAACAGCTCCGCGCACTTCTCCCGGCAGGTGTCCAAGTCGCCTGGACTCATCCTCCGTTTTCGTACGTATATGGGCATCTCGGTATTCAGCTTCACCTGCATTTGATGCGATTGACATTGCCCGAGTTCGGATAAGGTGTATGCAAAAGTCTTGCGGTGCCGCTTCAGTACCTCCTGTAATGCCTGCGCTGGCTCTGCCCCCATTCCGGAGCCTATGGGCCAGGCATCCTCGGGTCCCCTCTCCTGGCTTGTCTTTTCCGTCTCCGTCTCCCCGTCGGGTGGCAGTACTCCTTGGTCTGTAGCCGTACTCCCGGCTTCCACAGCCATGCAGGCCCATCCTTCCAAGATACGTGCTTCCTGTTGCTCTTCTATGGCTCTCAGCTGGCGTTTCCGCTCCTCTGTCTCCTCTTCCTCTCGGTACAGCTCATTGACTTCAATACCCCGTTGGAGCTCTGTCCTCTTTAGGTGCATGCGAATAGTTTCCACCAGCCACGCCATGACATTCAGGTCCATAGCTCTGCCCAGCGCTGCCCTCCGTTGTGGCTCAGTCACTTGAGGGTGGGCAGTAGCTCCCAGCAGATGCCCCATGGCTAACTCCCGCTCTTCGGCCGTCGGTTGCTCCCACTGTTTCCCGATGACATCATAGATCATTCCGGGCCCGGGCAAGTCTCCCTCCATCACGAATCCGTAGGCGTCCACGTAGGACACGAGTGTCGGCAGCGCCTGTCTCGGCTTCCCAGGCACATTACACTGGTACTGGGACGGGTGGTCCGGCACCGTGACTGGCGCTGGCAGTCGGTTGGGGCCCAGGATGTCACTAACCGATCTCGGTTCCGGCCGCTGCATCTGAGCCAGAGAGTGGCGCAAAAGGGCCTCTGAGATCCCATTCTGCCAGTATCTCCTGGGCCGGTGCGCTCTGGACCCAAGCTGCGCCGCGTCTACCGCTTGCCCCCTACCGACAGCGGCTTCTACTTCGGCGAATGCCCTGTGTACGGGCTCTCTGCGATCGTCAGCAAAGTCCACGTTCTCCAGGATGTAGAGCACCTCCCCTTGCTTCTCCTGAACCATCTCCAACACCCGCTTTAGGTCCCTGAAGGAGGCCCCCCGTATGTCAGCCATTCCCATTCCTGGTCCGGCCCTAGAATAACCCTGACATTCCCATCCCGCCACAATAATGTCAATCTGCCCCCACTGCTCCAGTGTCTCCTCCGAGATATCCCGGACATCGTCCACCACCTCCTCATATTCCACGGGTAGGGCGGACTCGGCCAGCTGATCGGGATATTCGGCTAGCAGCTGCCGGGCGTGATGCTGCGCCATCCGGCGCACCACCGGATCTCTTTCGACGTGAATCCACTTCCTCACCCTACAGCCAGCACGCAACACCGCCGCCAGTCCTGTGCCGATGCCCCCGTACAGCTCCATGATGCACACTGCTCCTTCTAATGTCCAGAGCCTGGTCACTCTTTCTTTCAGCGAGGCCGGTTCCCGCCCCCGCCTCCTCCTCTCTATTCTCCGTTCGTACTCCTCCGCGTATCTCTCCCAGCTCCAGTCGTCCATCACCGGTCCCAGGTCAGCAGCCCGTGCTTTGTATGCCTCCCGGGGCTCTTGCTTCACGAATTTCACAGGCAAAGTACCCACGGAACTGGCAGCGTCCCAGTAGTGCACGCGGTACAGCACTTTCTCTTCCCAGGCACAGATGGTGGCACCAACTCGGTAAAGCAGGTCCATGCCCACCAACGCATCATAATCCTCCGACTCAGACACGCCACAAGTCACGCGGATACAACATTCCTTGTCAGTGCCGGGACGCAGTACTATCTCGATGGGCCTTACCGTCCGCGGCATCCATTTCGGCTCTCCTCCCTCGGCGGTCATGAGCAGGATGCCCCTCGGCACGAGCCTCCCGGGCAAGTCGAGCTTCAGTTGTCTAGCTAATCCTTTCCCGATCAGCACGTGGTGAGCCCCGGTGTCGATGATCGCTTGCCCCACTGGCAACCCACCCACCGTCAGGCTCCCCTTTTCGGCTATCAGGACAGATGCCTGGCACACCAGTCTCTCGTTAGGGTGGCGCCTCTGTTCGGAGGTACTGCTTCCCTCATGCACGTTGCCGCGTGGCTCACGTACTCTGCTCGTACGGCTTTCAGACGACTGGCTTCCCCGGATCCGAAGGTCGAGGTCCTCTCTCTCCCTTGGGAACGCCATAAAGCCGCTTGCGCGCAGATACTCGCCCTCGCTTTCTTCCTCCCCTTCGATCTCCTCGTACGCCAGCATCGCTCTGGCCTTCTGCTCCACTTGAGGCTTCGCCTCCAGTCTCAGCTGTAACCGTTTAATCTCTGCCTGCAGCTCCTCTTTACTAGGAGTCTCTTCAGAGCGTCGCCGACTGTAGCAAGCATCCTCCTTATGCCCCTTCCGTCCACAATTCCCACACACTGGCAGCTTCGGGCAATCTCGCTTCAAATGGCCAGCTTCCCCACATTCATGGCACCGTCGTGCGTCAGCCCGTTGTAGTCCCGCTAGAGGCGCCTCCGTCAGCGCCGCCGCCGCCCATGAGGACTTCGTTTTAGGACGCACCTCCCCGTCCTCCAAATCCAACATTCTCTGCGCGTGCTCCGTCCTTTTAGCCAATCCGTAGACGTCCTTCAGGGTGACATCTGCACCTATGCCGTGCACTGTGTTCCGCACCACATTCCGCAGATCGTCATCTAAGCCTCGGACGAACTTGCGCACCAGCAACCGTTCGTCTCGGCTTTCCAGATCCTCTGCAAGCTCCCTCAGTCGACAGTAGTAGGCTAGCAGGGACTCATCCTTTCCTCGGCGAAACTCGCGAAATTCCTCAACCCGCGCTTTAGTTTGCCCTAGAAATTCCTTTTTCAGCAGCTCGACAAACCGCTCGGTCGGGTTCCCGATCTCTCCACACGCTAGCTCCTCCAGCACCTCCTCCCGCGTCATGCGATAGAAGGTCTCGGCCTCTCCTGCTAACGTTACTACCATCCGCCGGAAGAATTCAGCCGGGTCCAGCCCGTCCCGTTCCCAGAAGTACTGCACTGTCTCCAACTGCATCAGATAGTTCTTCAGAGTGGGACCCACGCCGGGAATGCCAGTAAACCGCTCGGCCACCTCCAGCTTCGGTAGGGATCCTGCCTGCCATCTCTTGTCGGTAGCCCGATCTGGAGGGGCGGTTGTTGACGGTGGCTCCGCCATTCGACTCGCTATAATCTCTCGCTGCGTTGGCGACCGGAACTCTCCCTCTGGCTGGCGCCGCAGCCAGGTCGCCTGTGCCGGCATTCGATCAGCTTCCATCCCCGGCATCAACCCCGGGGAGTTACTAGCTGGGCGGTTCTCCCACCGTGCTCTCGCTTCCCGCGCCCAGCGCATATCTTGGGGTGTCTCTCCTGGATCTGACGCGACGGCCCGAGCTGGCTCCATCTCCGCGCGTCGCCCTCGTTCCCGTTGGTGCGGGGTCCGGTACGCACCGGTAGTCGGCGCTGGCGAACTCCTTGACTCCACCACTGACACTCGGTCTAACGAGGTCGTCGCGGCGGCGCGCCAGCTAGGTTCCGCTGAAATATCTTCTCTTCGATAGCTCTGCCCTGAACGTAGTCTAAACCTATCGTTCATCCTAGCTTGGAAACAGCGATCTGTCGCATTTCCTTGCTTGTATGTTGTAAGCTCCTGGCTCATGGGCTTCCCTCAGAGTCTCCCTAGCTCGGCTGACTGCCTGAGAACACTGAGTGGGAACCTGCACAAAAGGACTTGCTGGGATTGGCTCCTCCCTGGTGGGCTAACGCGAGTAGCGAGTAACTCTTAGCTGATAGAGGAAACATACAAGCAAGCAAATGAAACCGACCCGTGTTGCTTGCCTAAGTATGTGCACATGGTTATCGTTGCCTGCAACGGTTGGTTTTGTTCGTCAGTTCTCTGATTTGGCGCTATTCGCCTCTGCCTACTTCGCTTGAAAACTACTCACTACTGTATCCTGTCATGCATTTATATTGCTAGGTCCTGCTCTCCATTCTTCCAATTAAATGTATGACATATTCTTGTTAAACTCCCCGATCGGCGGTGGGGGAATGTAACTCCCCTTCTGGAATCTGCGCCAGCTTGTCAAGACCGTAGAGTAAGGGGAGCGTCTCTTCCTCGGTAGATGTCGGACTGTGGTCGGTGGATGGTCTAGCGTCAGTCATGTCGACATCGTCCGTGTGGCAGCACGTATGTTACTCTACCGTCGTCCGTGTGCGATGCGGAGGTTGGTAAACCAAAGACGGTACTGAGTCACGGGTCTGGTGAACGCCCGGAGAGTTGCGCGGCGGTCTTCTTCGAATTCTCGGTCGAGTGAGTCTAACTCGGCTTCGACCTCGAGCCGTTCCAGCTCCGCTTTGATGTCGGCGTCTACAGAGTCGGCGGGGTGTGGAATGGGTTGCGGCCGTTGGGCTCTAGGGCGACCTTTGGCCATGCGTCGCCGACTTGCACCGATGTTTCGCTAAAACAGCAGACGTCGACGTCGACTACTACTGACCAAGTCGGCAACTGAGTAACCTACAGGCGCGATCACAGACTGCCAGCTGAAAATTCTAAGTGCACGAGAGAGCAGGAAGAAACGTAGGAACGGACATGGGAATGAGCAGGCCCGCACGGTCACGGACGGGTATGGTCCTGAGCGACCCCGATGTTGCCGCGCTTCACGCACACCCCTATGTTACTGCCGCCATGCATGTGTTCTCGCATAGGCGGCGCTCTGCCCGAAGTGTCACGTGCCAAGCATGGCTAATGTTACTTCGCGCTGCACCGAAGGGGCGTAAGCCAGGCCCTTTCCACAGTGCAATGGGCGTGTGTTACGTGGCTTGGGGCCGACATTGGCCTCTCAGTACTGAAATTACAGCATGCCGACCCGAATCTCCCAGGGTCCCGGATTTATTGAAGCTCACCGTGGCAGTCATAGGGTGGGCGCCGATCGGCGCCGACTTACAATCGGCGCGCTTGATTGTTTCTTTAGGTTCATTGAACCTAGACAGTGTTGAGATTGTGCCGCGTGGCTTGATTGTGGGCCTTTGGATGAATTGGTTGACACCGACATCGCATGCAACTCGCGATGCCACAGAACATTTACATCCTGGACGGTCTGATTTTTGTCGCGTTGATTGCGCTCTTACATTTTCAAAGGTGTGAACGTTTTTCCGTGGGAAACTATATTCCAGGTCCATACTTTCAGATCTCACTCAAATTTAGCCCCAGGTTTACTAAAAAAGTACTACTTTCTAGAATTTCGCTCACTCGAGGCCCAGATTATGTTCAAAACTGGTCCTGCGGGGCGAAGTTTTCGACACGTGTCCAATTTCGCTTGGAAAATTTTTCGACGGGGCAAAAAATAATAAAACCCCTCGGGAACTAGGGCACATTTGCGGGAGGGATCAAACCTAAACACCAAGCGGGTCCCCGTGTTTAGGGTTGGTCCCTCCCGAACGTGTGTCCTGGTTCCCCTAGGGGTTTTATGTTTTCTGCCCCCGTCAGAAATTGCTAATACGAAATAGGACACGTGTCAGAAAAAGTTTGCCCCGCAGGACCAGTTTTGAACATAATCTGGGCCTCGAGTGAGCAGTCTTCCAGAAAGCTGTACTTTTTGAGTGAACTTAAGACTAAATTTGAGATATTTTTGAAACTATGGAGCTGGGATATACTCTCCCATTTCCCGCTTTGGGAAAATCACCGCTGGAGCGACGCGTGGCCACGACGGCCACGTCGTTGCAGCCTAGTACACGGTGGGGACAGTTTGGATCCCTCCTATTGGTCCGCGTGGCGGCCGTCGTGGCTTGACGTGGCGAGCTCTCTTATTAGTGTCCGCTGAGATTTACTTCAGGTATATCATCCCAATATCGAACTCCCCAAGTGGTTTCCGCCCTTCCGCGGACTCTTCCCCCAACCCACAAAAATGGGTTGGATTCGCGTGCTTGCTTGACTTCATCGCTCCTGTGTTTCAGAAACGAGTTGAATTCGCTTCCCAATCAGGCTGCGTGATGGGTGTGAATCGACAATACCCCCAAAAACGCAACTTAGTATGTTGACCGCAGTTTTAAGTGAGCTTCGGATGCTTCACAACCCCAGACCTGACCTCTGTACCCTAAGGATGCGTTACCTCAACGCCGATCGCAAGATCGATCCTACGTAGGTTCGATTTTTTGTGTGGTTTAATTTGCATCTGCAAGTGTTTTCTACGATGCGCGTAGTTTCAATGCGGTGGAAGATCGAGATTTGACGATCGATCGCAGGATCGGCGTTCAGGTGACGCGTCCTATCTCCCAAGTGTTTCGCCTACACGAACCCAGAATTTCCCGCATTTCTCTCGAGTAATTCGCTGATGAATATTAATCTTGCCTAAATACGTTTGCCTCTGGCAGGGCCGCTCATCCCACTGCCGCCATGCCGACTTGGGAACAATCGTCTGCCAGGTCAGCTTATCCCACTGCTGAAATGGGGGCATGGGGCGATCCGGCGACCCTTCCAGATGTTTCGTACGTAAGTCCCTCGTTTGTAGATCACGTTGCAACACCTCCTGTTATAAGCTCCTCGGCCTTCGGGTTTCAGGCGGGAAATTCGTCTCGCCACGTCAGCGTGACGGCTCCACCGATGGAGCCCGCAGGACCGTCCGATGCGGATTTCGCGCCGAAATCCATGGACGAACGTTTTCAAAGCATCTTGGCAAAGAGAAACCGCCAGGTTCGGGCTACTGAGGCCGCGGTTCGGCAGACAGCGGCGCGGCAGGCTCGGATCGCGTCTCAGCGGCAAATCACGGTAGAAGACGTTCACGCTGTGGCGAACATGGCGCCAGATTTCGCGCCGCGTTTCACGGCGCATGTTCCGGTGGCGGCTGCTGCTGGGTTTCATCAACCAACAGATCCGTTATTGGACGACTCGTTTGTAGGTTACAGAGGTCGTGCAAGTGAGATTCTGGAGGACGAGGAGGAGATGGAAGATGCGACTATAGATGATTACAAGACAAGTGGCTCTAGGGGTGTGATTGCAAGTAAACACGCCACGCTGGCAGCTGGCGGTTCTAGCAACCTGCCGCGTCACACCTCTGATCCCGCTGGCAGACGCTCAGCCAATCACAGCGCTCCTCCGGCCAAAACCCCATCCCCATCCGCCGCAAAAGCCGCCGCCGCTGCTGCTTTGGCCGGTAGTCGCATTAATCAGAACTCTCAAACGGTCACTGATCGTTCTCACCGTTCTGATCGCATTATCGATCGGGGAAGGAATTCTGGCCGCCACAAGTCCACTCAACCTTCTCCTCCTCCTCCTCTTCATCCTCATCAACATTCTCGTTCCGCTGATCGTTCTCGTAATTCTCCCAATGCCGCTGCTCCTGCTGGTCGGATCGAGAGGCCAGGTTCAGGGAAGGCTGCGGCTGGCGCTGTACTCGATAAGAGCGTCCCCGCTAAGAGAGTACCAGTGAAATCGCGGCTACGTGTTCCTGTACACATGAGGCTGTCATTTGAAGGCTCAGATTCCAACCCTTCCCCAGCTGCAGCAGCAGCAGCAACGGCAGTAGCCGCAGCAGAAGCACCACTTCGCTTGGTTCCCACAGCTGGTATCTTGTCTCTTCCCCATGCAACCCCTCTTGTGCCTGCTGCCAATCTGGGTGGAGTAATGACGGCCTTTCATCCGCCTTTTTCCACCCCCTATGTTGCTGCTCCCAACGGGCCTCTCCTTCCCAATCCGGTGCTCTTTCGGACCGTACCTGTGTCTGTTGGAGGTTTGGTCGGAGGTTTGGTGTCTCCAGACCCTAGGTATAGGTTTGGTGCAGGAAGGGTTGGAGCAGAGGTGCAGGGAGGGGGGAGGGGGAGAGAAGGGAGGGGACATGGCTTGGGTCAGGGAAAAGGGAGTGAGAGAGGGAATGTGAGTGTGGCATCGAAAGCAGCATTGGATGATGAGATTGAGTCTTACATGGCTGAGAAGTATCAGGGAAAGGGAGGGAGATGATGATGTGGTGTTTGGAGGGTGGAAGAGGAAGGAGGGTTGCTCTGAAATTTGCTATGTCTGGGAAAGGAGGAAGGGTGTTTGGGAGGGAGGGTGGGCAAGTGAGAGGGTGGGCCTTGATGTGTATTTTTGAATATATGTACTTCTACAGCAATTCCATTCCGAGTTCAATATTTTTTCCCAAGCATCTGTCTGGCCTACTTTGGTGACAATCAACTTGTAAAGTAGAGTTCATAGGCACGCTAGGTTGTTCGGATTATGACGTATCGAACTGTCAAGGGTATGCGGGCGAATCTTGTGGGAGAATGTTTCTTGTTTCGCGATCGTCGCCAACGAACGAATTCCGCGGGCTACAACGGGAACTGAGAATTGAATGGTTCGGGCGCATCTGGCGCTGTGAGAAGGTGCTTTTGGTGTGGACGGTTGAGATTTTTTAATCTAACACGAGGAAATTGCGCTGTATTCGCGATTCGCTATGCATTTGAAATTCCTCCGACGTGCAAAGTAGATTTGCACTTTCACCCAGCTCTAGAATTACAAGTCCCAGAATTCAGAGAGACCAATTCCATTAGTTGTTCTCGCCATTCCTTCGATTTCACATTCGCCCTACTTGTGACAAACACATACAGTTTCCCATCTGCATTAGAAGCCCCATCTCGTAACATCTTCTTGACACATCAGCCAATGGAGCGTTTGGATGATTATCTCGAGCCGAAATCGATGGACGAGCGCTTCCGCAGCATCTTGGCGCAGAAAAACCGTCAGGCCCGTCGTGCCGAGGCTGCGACTCGGCAGGCAGCGGCGCGTCGCGCTCGAATCTCTTCTCAGAGGCAAATCGTCGTAGAGGTTGAGCAATCTGTCGCGGAAAGGGCGCCGCATTTTCCGCCGCCTGGCCCGGCGGAGAAGGTGCCCAGCAGCAATAGTATGTCGCGACACGGCGAGCGCACGCGGGACGGGGAGCGCACGCACTACGGGGAGCGCACGCACTACGGGGAGCGCACGCACTATGGGGAGCGCACGCACTATGGGGAGCGCACGCACCATGGGGAGCGCACGCACCATGGGGAGCGCACGCACCATGGGGAGCGCACGCACCATGGGGAGCGCACGCACCATGGGGAGCGCACGCACCATGGGGAGCGCACGCACCATGGGGAGCGCGCGCACTACTGGGAGCGTACGCACGGGGTGCGCACGCACTACGCACGGGCTGTGAACACTGTTAAAGAGGAACCTTATACCGAAAGTCACAACCTCAAGGTTTGGGCCGAACCTGCTGGTGTAGGCACGGCCAATCACAGGGCAGCTGGTACCCCTCCAGCCGTACACGCTTCCGGATTGGCCGACGCAAAAGCAGCCGCAGATGCCGCATTCGCTGGCAAAGGTTCGTATCCTCACCGTCCGTTTCACCACCCGTCTGAGGTTCCAAGGTTTACGTACGATGCTCCTCGTTATCCTTTAGGAGGAGGAGGTGGACGATGGGGGAACAGAGGTAATGGCAGGAGGAGACGGAGGAGGAGGGGGGGTCGGGGCAGGCAAAACGAGAGGATACCACCTTTTCTGTCACTGTCGCTGTCGCTTTCATATCCGCCTGTCTGGCAGAGGGGAGGGTGGTAAGGGGGAAGCTTTGCCTCGCCTGGACTTGACTGCATTCAAAGAGGCGCAATTCACGCCTTGATAAACCCGACAGTATGTTTATGGCTATGCCAGCAATTCAACATACGTATGTTTATAGTGGTTTATAGGAGCAGATTTGGTTTGTAATGATTTTCATGACTGGAGTGACCTTTTAGGTGAACCGGTAGACTTGTTTTCTCTGGCGACTTCTCAAACCCTTCAGCAACAGATAGGTGATTCCAGTTCAAAAGAAGCAAATCATAACAGCATAAGGCAGCTGCTTAAACATTCCTCGCAGGCCTCTACATGACAGCCTGTACAGTCACTCTTGTAACGCATATACCTCCAGCTCTTGGGTCTATTGTCGAGTAAATGATGAGCCACCTTGCCTTGCTCCCAGTACCACCGTATATGCAGCAGGGCCTCATGGGATGACCTGTCTCGGCTACATATGCAGCAGCACTGTGTCATGGAGTGACCCATTTTGGCAGCATCTGTATTGTTGCGTCATGGGGTGGCCTCTTTTGGCCGCATCTGCAGTGTTGCCAGCAGTGTGGTCGCCAGGGCCTCACACATCTCAGCAGCACTCGCCTCATGCACACACGCTGACCCAGCTCCCGACTCCCCACTTCCCCCTCCCCCACTCACTCCTCCCCCTCTCCCCCCGCCCCCATTCCCCCCTCCGCCACTCCCCCCTCCACCTCCCCCTCCCCCTCCCCCAACTCCGCTGGTGGGGGGGAACACCATGAAGGCATGGTCTAATTTCCGTCTGCTCCGCACCACCACTGACCCCGGCACCTCTGCATCAGCCCTTGTCACCAGCCCGTCGCTTGCTGCTCCGTACCTAGTGGGTCAGAAGGTATGGAGATGAGTAGAAATGGGCGAAGAGGCATGGAGAGGAATGGGGAGTGCAGGAGAGGGAGTCAAGGAACGTGTTGAAATAACCCGCACCTCCTCACAATCCAAACCTACCTGTATTCCAGATGGACGGCCACGATCGCAAGCCCAGCCGACAGCGGGAATCCAACGGCCAGCTTTGCATTCTGCTGCGCCAGCCACGGCACTTCAGTATGCGCCACAGTCGACAGCGATGCCACCACTGCTGCCGCCTTACTCGCCTCCGTATGAAAGGACAGTATCGGAATTTCCCCCACCGGAAACGGGTGCTTCGCGAGAAAATCCCTCCTTTTCGCATGGGTCAAATCGTCCAAGCACCGGATATCCCCCCCGAAAATCTTATCCATGAGAATCCCAAGAATCGTGCGGGATGCCACGTCACCCCACTGCCCTTCCCGGAGCAAATCCGATGCCACAGGGCTTCCCCCGTAGGGACTCTGAATGAAGACGAGACCGGCGACTTTGTCAAGCAGGAGGGGCTGGTAGAGGGAGAGGGCTGCTGCTGCATCCATGGCGCCCTTGCTGTGGCCTAAGATCAAGATCTTCTTCTTCGTCGCCCAATAAAGCTCTTCGATATAGTCACGGATGACTATAGCGTTGGCTTCTATTGGAGCCTGCAAGGCGGAGAGGGGGAGGGGTGGGGAGAGGAAGGGGGGGGGGAAGGAGGGGTGGAAAAAGGAGGATAAGATTTTACAGAAATATATCTTCAATATAGTCACGGATGACTGTGGAGTTGGCTTTTATGGGGAGCCAGGGGGAGTGGGAGAGGGAAAGGGGTGTTTGTGGGAAGGAAAGGGAAGGGAGGATGGGGGAGAAGAGGGAAAGAGGAGTCATGGATTGAAAGAATAAAAAGACCCTGTGCAACATACACCCACCGAAAACCCCTCACCTGGCACCCACCTGACACCCACCTGACGCTCACCTGACGCCTACCTGACGCCCACCTGACGCCCACCTGACGCCCACCTGACGCCCACCTGACGCCCACCTGACGCTCACCTGGCTGTGGATCTTGGCAATGTGGCAGACGAGGCCGATGGAGGAAAAATGCTTCTTGGTGTCAAACAGATAGAGCGGGCTAAGATTGCTGAATAACCCCGGAATTAAAAGGTAGACCAGGTTGTCGGGCAGCGCATGGATGCCACTCCTGCCGAAAGAAAGAAAAGAAAACGAAGAAAAGGAACAGATGATAATCGGAAAAAAAACACGGAAACAAGAGATTGCAGGGTTACAGTGGAATGCAATATCCCAAACATAAGCCGGCATTCATGGCTGGAATGCCATCAGGCCATGCAATGCAGCATGGCTGGAATGCCATCAGGCCATGCAATGCAGCATGGCTGGAATGCCATCAGGCCATGCAATGCAGCATGGCTGGAATGCCATCAGGCCATGCAATGCAGCATGGCTGGAATGCCATCAGGCCATGCAATGCAGCATGGCTGGAATGCCATCAGGCCATGCAATGCAGCATGGCTGGAATGCCATCAGGCCATGCAATGCAGCATGGCTGGAATGCCATCAGGCCATGCAATGCAGCATGGCTGGAATGCCATCAGGCCATGCAATGCAGCATGGCTGGAATGCCATCAGGCCATGCAATGCAGCATGGCTGGAATGCCATCAGGCCATGCAATGCAGCATGGCTGGAATGCCATCAGGCCATGCAATGCAGCATGGCTGGAATGCCATCAGGCCATGCAATGCAGCATGGCTGAAATCCCATCACGCCACTCGCATAACACAATGCGGCATGGCCTCATAGTGGCAGGTGATATTCGAACTTCTTGACAATGCCACTCAAACAACTCACATGACACACTCCAGAATCGCCTCGTAATTGTCAGTGACATCCGTCACAGGGGGGAGCGCATGGTCCTTTTTCAGCCACCCTATGTCGTCAGAGGAGCCTTTCAAAAGAGCCTCCACACCGCCCACAAGCCTGACGGGAAAGAAGAGAGAGATGCAATGGGAGGAGGGAAAGCATCAGTTGAAGCAGGGAAAAAAGGCGTTCTTTTGAACCACAAGCATGGCAGCAAAGAAGAGAGAGGTAAAGCGGGAAGAGGGATGCTACAACCATTCAAGCAGGAAGGGCAGTACCTTGAAGTATCTCACACTACCATTTGGTACCTCACAGTACTTCACGGAACTTTGCAGAACCCCGGAATAACTGACAGCACCTCACAGTACCACACAGTACCTTTGCCAGGACATTGAGAGGAGAGGTACAGGGCCCAAACCCTGCTGCCGTTGCTGCTGCTCCTCCTTCCTCCGTTTCTCCTCTTTTTGCCGCTCCCACCCTTCCTTTGCCATTTGAACCAAATCCCCTTCCGAGTAAAAATGTGACTCTATCGAGTGTGATTCTACTAGATTTGATTCTATCTGATGTGATTCTATCTCCACTGGTGCGACTGATCCTCCTTCTCTCTCCCGATCCTGGTTGTCAGGTCTGGGGGATGATGGGTTGCTTGCTGACGTGGACTGGAAGGAACTACGATAGATGTGTGACTCAGGACACGTGTGCCGATGACGTGGAGGGTGTTCTGAGCTGTTGCTGACGCCAGCAACATGGATTGTATCGTTTCTGCCGAAACTGGGAGAGCTGAGGCTGTGGGAAAGCTTCTGATTAAGCAGGAGGGAGGAGGGGTGTGGATGGGGGATCGGAGAGAGAGGGATGGGGAGGAAACGGAGAAGGTAAAAGGGTAAGGGAATGAGGTTGCTGGTGTGGGAAGGGGGAGGGTCGCCTGGAAAAGGTTAGAAAGCAGACACACAAACACCACACTGAAGAAGAAACCAACATAGACAAGAAGAGGCCCCCATCAGCAGTTGAATTCAAGGTTAACATACCATATCAGGTACTTGTCGCCCTGACAGGCTCGCCCCCATCACAGCACTTGTTTGCTGCTTGTCTGCAACAACACTGCTCGTGCCACCAGCACTTCCCAATGCTGCTGCTGCTGCTGCTGCTGCTGCACTCATGTCCTCTGCAGCACTTGTCTCCTTCTCCTCAACAGCAGCACTGATCAAGCAAGCAGCGCTGCCCAATGCTGCTGCCCCATTCTCCCCGTTCCCAGCGCTTGACTGCTTGCCTTCAACACTGCTCGTGCGACCAAGGCTTCCCAATGCTCCTGCAGCTGCCGCCGCCGCCACTGCCACCGCTGCTGCTGCTGCTGCTGCACTCGTCTCATCATCAATACTTGCTTCCACCACTTCTGCAGTTCCTGCTGCCCGTTCACTTGCCCGCAATTCTAACTCTTCCTCCCCAGACCCGGCTTGAAGTAATGTAATCATAGGTGAATCCCCCCCTTCTTCCATCTTCCCACCCTCCCCCAATCCTTCCCCCTTAGCGCCCTCCTCCACCCTTGCCCTTCCGCCTTCACCCAGTCCTTCCCTTCCGCCCTCCGCCTCTCCCCCCCTTCCGCCCGCCCCGTCTCCACTCCCCTCTGCATCACCCTCGATCTCATCAAGCCTTTCCCACCCTCCTGCTCTCCTTTCCTCCTCCTCTCCACGCGTCCTGCTGCCATTGGCTGTCAACTCCGTCGGGATTTCACCACCGTCAGTCAACTTATCACGACCATCCGTCAAGTCAATTTCTGGTGCCAAACGACAACTCGACTCTGCTGCTGCCGTTACGACAGCAGAACCTTCTCGCGAAACTTCATGAACAGTAACTTTTGCAACAACTTCATTCGCTAGAGTCACAGCACTTGAGTCACTGGCAACGGCGGCTTCCACAGTCTCGCTATTAGCATCTCCGCTCCCTTTGCCGATGGAAAGGAGGCTAAACCGCAAGTCTCTAATGATGCTCCACGACATGACGCAAACCAGTAACGAAACTGGTTTTAACGGAGGAAAAAAAATAACGGAGGATTTAGAGCCTTATCTTCAAGGATTTCAGAAGAAATAACGTGTGAGCACGAAATGCGCAACCGCTAAACCTGGTAACGTTTATAACTCGACGAATAAGCCGCCACCCGTCCGCCTAATGACAGCGTAACCCTGTGACATTCTTCAGCAGCGAACGGAGCTAGAGGGAGTTACTAGCGAAAAGAAGCAACAGTGGCAGAACGTGAAGGAAGATTCGCGGAGTACTGTGCGCACAGGTTAACGGCGCCACGCGGGGAAAACGGGGGAAGATTCGCGGAGGCGATTGCGCAGACGAGACATCTCAATGCTGGGCGAGGGATATCGACGCGCGGAGCGACGCGAAACTAACTCAGCTGCAAAAGCGGGCCGCCGGAGGGACGAGCTGCCACGTAGTGCTTGCTCTTGTGAGCACGTGCTGATCTGGCGTCGACTATTATGGACGCGAAGAAAAGCTGGTGACAGGCTGGCTGGCCGTAACTTCAAGAAATAGCTCTCCCATTTCGTACGCTCATAGACTAATTCGATTTGGACTTTTCTGAGATTGCCCATATTTTGTTGCTCTAAACGAAATGGAAATGCCTGGCTTTGCTGGATTGTCGAAACATGCTGCCAGTGACAATCCGCCACGCGTCACCTTCCGAGGTTTGCGCTCACCCGCAAACAACCCATGCACATGCGAATCGCGCCCAAAATGTGCGACGCGAGAATTTCACTCATCCAGCTAAATTTCGCCCCCCATTTTTCCCCATTCCCTGCCACTTCCTTTCCACTCCCACTTCCTCTGTTTTATTCCCAAAATGGTGCCCACGCCGGTTTGCCTTTCTTTGCACCGCACGCCCCTCTCCTACTCCTCCCTCCCTCGTTCAACTCGAACAAAGACCAGCAGCATTGGCGTTAAATTTCGTCGCACCACTAACAGCAGATCTTGCGCACGTAGCTACCAACAACCGGAGTTAACTAGGCGACTGACAGTCTTACCTGCTGACGCCGCTTCTGTCCATATCACCGTACTGGTCCTGTCTTAGCACGCACTTCCTTACCTGCTGCCCAGCACAATGTCCACGTGTCCTGATTGGATGGATCCGTCCGTGGATGACCGCAACAGGAAGCTCATGCGCCCTCCACCTGCAATACATGGTGAGTAAAATGGGAAGAAACTCAGGAATTTGAATAGGAATAAAATCTCCTCAACAAGTGCCATGTAAAGCCCCTGCTAGGGCGGAGATTGTTTTCCTTCTAATTATTTTCATCCTCCGCGCTTTGTGCAGATGAAAGCATAATGGAGGTGGCAAAGCAGGAGGAGCACTCATCCATGGATCCTTTATCAGCTTCTCAAGACGTGAAGCACCATGGTGATACAGCCGCTGCAGAGAGCCTACATCTAGGGATGCCTTCAAATCCCAGTGGTGGACACACAGTCTTCACCACTGAACAGGATCTTTCTGGCCCTTCTTTTGAAGCACATCCTGCTGTTGCCCATACGGCACAGCGGCCAGATCAAGGGCCTGTTGCTGAAGGAGGAGGGAGCAGTGGTGTTGGAGGGATTGCAGAGGGGGGAGGAGGAGAGGGTGTGACGGGCGATGTGAAGGGTGGGAGAGGGACTGGGGATGGAGGAGGTGGAGAGGGTATGACTGGCGGTGTGAAGGGTGGGAGGAAGGCGAGGCGAGGACCGCTTGGCCATGTGCGAAGCTTCCTAGAAAAGGTGGAGGAGAGAATGCATCGCAGTCCCCGGCAGCAGCGACAGGAGCCAATCAGGCAGGTCCACGTGGAGGCAGCAGAAAGGGAGAGGCCGCAGCAGGCACAGCAGAAAGTGATGCAGCAGCAGCAGCAGAAGGGGAAAGCAACTGCACCAGAAGCAGCAAGGCCTGCGGAGGCGTCGGGTGTGGGTGGGGTGGGCGTGGGAGGGAGTGAAAAGAGGTCTGGAGGGCTGGGACGACGAGCAGAAGGCCGTAGCTTGTCTGTTGGAATGGTGGAAGAGGAGGCGGGGGGAGAAGAGGTCAAAGAGGGGGGCAGAGAGGAGAGAGGAGAGGAGGGCAAGGAGGGGACAGAGTCGGGAGGCATTAGTAGCGTGCAAGGTATGAGGGAGGAGGAGGGTATGGCACAAGGGACAAGAAGCCCAAGAGGCGGATTCGTGAGGAGGATGAGGGAGAGGGTGAAAGGGGCACTGCACCCACACCGCCGCCCTGGCAGGAGCCGCAAGGTATATGGAGGGGATCACATGTGTTAAGAAAAAAATGTAGTGGCGGTTTTTTTATGCCTGCAACAGCTAGAATTAGTGTAGGTAATCCCCTGTATGCTCTCCATACTCTCCCTTTCGATCTCAACCCTGCTTCTGTGTACTCCCCCATCTTCCCCTGTCCTTTCCCTCTCTCGTCTGTGCTCCTCCTCTCTGTGCTTCCCCTCTTCCCTCTTCACTCGCCTCAGCGGGATCTCAGTGGCACGCACACACGATCCAGCAGCGTCGACAGCCCCATGCTCAACCCTTGCCCCCGCTTCAATCTCACCTTCCTGTGTGTTTGTGCCCTCTCTTGCCTCCCTGTTTCTCTTCTCTTTCAGCTGGACCTTAGCGGTTTGAACACACCATCTAGCAGCGGACGCAGTCCCATGCCCCTCTGATCTCACCTTCCTGTATGATTGTGCCAACTTTCTCCTCTCCTTTCTCTTATCTCTTCTCGCTTCTCCCCTTCTCTCTTTCAGCTGGACCTCAGTGGCATGACACACCCTCCAGCAGCGGCGGTAGCCCCATCCTCACCCCTCGCTCTCCATTCGAGCTCACCATCATGCGTGTGTGTATTTCCCCCGTCCTTCCGTCCCCCTTTCCTCGTACTCAGCTGGACCTCAGCGGATTGAGCACACCATCCAGCAGCGGCGGTAGCCCAATGCTCACTCCTCGCTCCCCCCCTGAAGCTAACCGGTTTCAAAGGGAGAGGGGGGGAGACAGGGGGGTGGAAGGAGGAACGGGGGGAGGGGGAGAGAGGGTGTTGGCGGGAGGAATAGGGGGGGTTGGAGAGGGGGTGCTGGCAGGAGGAATGGGGAGAGAGGGAGAGAGGGAGGTTGTGGAAGCAACAGGGGGAGAGGGCGAGAGTGGGAGAAGCAGCGAAGGGGGGCCTAGGGGAGTGAGGGAGGGAGAGGGAAAAGAGGCACTGGGAGTGAGGGAGGGAGAGGGCACGAGTGGGGCCCTAGGAGTGAGGGAGGCCTCGCCAGCAGCACAGATTGTCCACGTGGCTCGAGCCAGCCCATCCCCTTCCCCTCCCTCCTTTCGCCCACTCACTCCTGGCGAGGCAGCAGCGATGGAAGCAGCAGCAGCTGATGCAGCGAGAACAGCTGCGGAGGAGGAGAGAGAAGTAGCGACCGAGGCAGCAGCAGTTGCCGCAGCAGGAGCCGCGGTCAAGCCACCTTTTCCCAAAATGAAAAGCCTGGGGGCGGTGAGAACGGCAAAAGGAGGAGGAGAGGGAGCAAGCAAAAGGCATGAAGGAGTGGACGAACCAGCATCAGGAACACGAATGAGCGTTGGTGAAGGTTTTAGAGGAGCAGCAGCAACAGCAGCAGCGGTAACACCACCTGCATGGCTCACCAGAGCACGCAGTGCACCCAACATTCCTACCGCACACAAAACAGCAGCGAGAAACGCTCCTGAAGTTCTGGAGAAGCGTGTCCCGCCTACCCCACCACTCCCAGCCACGCCCCCTCCGTCTCCTGCTGACGTGGAGAATCTGGGTGCATCTGCACCGTCGATTGCGGAAGCGATGCAAGCGGGAACAAGTGGTGACTTGGCAGGAGGGGAAGGAGGTGACGTGGCACGGCTGAGGGCAGTTGCAGAAGAGCTTATACTGAAGGGGGTGAGTGAGGAAGAGGCGGAGGAGGCTGCAGAGGCTCTGGTGGAGGTGGAGGAGAGGGAGGGAGAAACGCCAAGCCTGACAGAAATGGATACGACAGAAATGGGAAAAGCAGAAACGGGAACGACAGAAGCAGGAACGACAGAAACGAGGGCAATCACAAGGAACAAGGCCCTGGAGGGAGCAGGAGGAGTGGAGGGACGAGAGACTGGAGAGTCAATGAAAGGTGGGCGGAGTGTGGGGGTTGCAGAGTCAGGAGAGAGCATGGAAGGTGTGGGAGGAGTGGAAGGCGGGAGGGCGAGGGAGGGGAGTGAGAGTGAGGGGTCGGACGAGGTGTTCTATGATGCCCACATGTCGTTCTATGGGCCGTTGGATGCCGCAGAACAGGAGAATCTGAGGGTGGCCGTGCAAGCAGCCATTTCAGAGGCTGTAGCAGAGGGATTGAAGGGGAAGGAGGGACCTGCGGTAAGTGGGGAGGGGCCTGTGGCAAGTGGGGAGGGGCCTGTGGTAAGTGGGGAGGGGCCTGTGGCAAGTGGGGAAGGGCCTGTGGTAAGTGGGGAGGGGCCTGCGGTAACCAGGGAGGGGCCTGCGGTAACCGGGGAGGAGCCTGAAGTAGCTGGGGAGGAGCCTGTGGTGACCGAAGAGGGCCCTGTGGTAGTTGGAGAGGGGCCAATGGTAACCAGAAAGGGGCTTGTGGTAACCAGAGAAGGTTCTGATGTAACCGGGGAGGGGCCTGTGTTGACTGGGGAGGGGCTGGGGCCCGAGGCGGCACCTGAAGAATCACCTGAAGCGTTACCTGAGGCTGGAACGCCACCTGGTCTGTGGCAGCTGCCACACGAGGAGACTTCAACATTGGAGCCTTCATTAGAGTCACCGCCATCATCCCAGCCTCCCATCGCTGCTGCGCTCCCTCTATCTCCCGTTGTGGCTCCCCTTGTTGAGTCAGGTCCTTCACAAGCACCAGAAACAGCAGCTGCTGCACCCCTTCCCCTCCCACCCACTTCAATTGAGCTGCCTGCTGCTTTTGTTCCTGCTGCTCCTGGTGCGGCGTCAGCAGCACGCCCCCTACAGTCAACAGAGAAAGAAGAGGAGGCTGCACCCTCTGCTTCCAAACTCAGTTCCACTGAGCTGCTTCCTGCTACTGTACCAGCGGCAGCTACTCCTGCTGCTGCTCCTGGTGCCGCTGGTGTTCTCTCAGCTGCAGCAGGCGCAACAGGGGAGCCTGCAACCGATGTGCTCTCCGCCGCTGCTGCTGAGTCGGCAGAGCCGTCGATTGCTGTTGCAAGTGCCGAGTCATCAGGTCCGGATGTTGTTGCTGCAGAATCAGCAGGCCCTGGTGCTGTTACTGCTGAGTCAGGAGGGGTTACTGTCATTGACAGTGAACGGGATACAGAGAGGCAGAGGCTTGCAGTGGCTCTAGCAGTGGTGGCTGCAGCAGGAGCGCAGGCTATAGCAGGAGCACAAGCAGGAGAAAGTGGAGTGAAGAGTGTTGGGGAAGGAATGGAAGGAAGGGTGGCAAAATTCCCTGCCTCTGATTTGCCACTTGTAGCAACTGGTGCTGCTACTGGTGCGGAAGGTGCTGCTGATGATGCTCATGCTACTGGTGTTGCTGTTGCTGCTGGTACTGTCACTGGTGACGGTGGTGGTGGTACTGGTGGTGCAGAGGAGCGTGTTTCCATGGTTCATGCTGTGATGGCAGCAGCAGGCGCACGTGCTGCTGCAAGCATGGCAGCAGGAGGAAAGGACGCTGAAGGAACCAGCAACCCTGGCGTTAAGACTCCAGGTGGCATGGGTGGCATGGGTGGCATAGGTGATAAAGGTGGCTTGGCTGGCTTGGCCGGCATGGGCGGCATGGGTGGCGCAATGGGTGGTACTCATGGTGGGAGGAGGGAGGAGAGCGCAGCAAGTGAATGGAGCAGCCAGTCACAGGAGGGGTCGCCGCCTGGTGCGAGGATGAAGAAACTGGGCGAGGTGGAGGAGATGATTGGAGAAGGGGATGACGGGGTAGCAGGGGAGGAGGCGGAGGGTTCTGTGTCAGAGCAGGGCGGATTGGTGGGGGCGAAAGGAAGACTGTTGGGAGCACGGATGATGGGAGAGGGACAAGAGTTGGGAGGTTCTGAGCGGGAAGGGATGATGGAGGAAGAGGTTCTTGGAGCTATTGTGGAGGGTGACAGGGAGGGAGACGAGGAGGGAGAGCAGGGTTGGGCTGGGACGGCTCAGGAGGCAGGTGTCGTGCAGGGAGAGGTGCCTGCAGCAGCTGCTGTTGCGGAGAAGGGAGAGGTGCCCGATGGTACTGCTGCTGCTCCAGACGAGGAGGGAGGGGTGCCTGGTGATGGTGGTAGAGGTGCTGTTGCGGGGGAAGGCGAGGTGCCTGCTGCTGCTACTGCTGCGGAGGAGGAGGGGGAAGGGGAAATGGTTACTGGTGGTGGTGGTGCTACCGCTACTGCTACTGCTGAGGATGAAAAGGTGCCTGCTGCTGCAGAAGAGGGAGAGACGACTGCTGTTGCAGAGGCAGCGAGAGAGGTACCGGCAGATGAGGAGCCAACACTTGGCACCGTGTTTGCAGCTATGCTACCCTCGACGGTGGTGCGTATGCTGGGGTTAGAAGGTGAGGGCGAGGCAAGCAGGGGGCGAGTGGGGGAGACGGAGATGCTGGCAGAGGCAGAGGAGGAGCAGCAGCAGGAGCAGGCAGGGTGGAAGGGGCGGGAGGAGAAGAAGCAGCAGCAGAAGGCTTGGCAACAGGAAGAGGAGCAGGAGCAAGTGCAGCAGCAATCTGGCCCAAGTGGCACTGCTGAGGAGGAGACCAAAGTGCCTGCTGCTGCTGCTGCTGCTGCTGCTGCAGAGAAGGGAGAGGTGCCTGCAGCTTTTACTGCTCCGGATGAGGAGAAAGAAATGCCTGCTGCTTTTGCTGCAGAAGAGGGAGAGGCGCCAGCAGATGAGGAGACGACAACACTTGGCACCGTGGTTGCAGCTATGCTACCCTCGACGGTGGTGCGTATGCTGGGGTTAGAAGGTGAGGGCGAGGCAAGCAGGGGGCGAGAGGGGGAGACGGAGATGCTGGCAGAGGAGCAGGAGGAGCAAGGGGAGGAGAAGGAAGGGTGGAAGGGGCGGGAGGAGACGAAGCAGCAGCAGCAGCAGCAGGAGGAGAAGCAGCAGGAGGAGCAGCAGCAGGAGGAGAAGCAGCAGGAGGAGCAGCAGCAGGAGGAGCAGCACCAGCACGGATGGCAGGAGGAGGAGGAGCAGGAACAGGTGGAGCAGGCATTTGGCCCAAGTGACACTGTTGAAAAGGAAGTTGAAGGAGGAGAGCGAGAGAAGCAGCATTCGACCACAGCTGCCCTTGCAGCAGCTGCGCCCCCTTCCTGGCTCTCCCCTACCAGGGGAACAGAGGGAGGAGCGGGAGCAGTGATTGAGGAGGAGGAACGGGAAGTGCAGCAGCAGCAGAAGATGCAGCCACATCAGCTGCAGGAGATGCAGGAGAAGCAGCTTCTGGAAGCTCAGAAGGATGAAAGTTTCTGGAGTCATACAGAAGAAGGGGAGGAAGGAACTGAAACATTATCTGCTGAGGGGGGTGAAGTTCCAACCAAGGGCCTGGCTGCAGGAGGGAGGAGTGCAGGTCCGACCAAGGGCCTGCACACAAGATTTCTTGAGAGCATGATGCCTGGCGTGGACTGGAGCGACGTGGCTGCAGAGGAAACGAGTGGCGCTCCCAAGGAGTCAATGCTAGGTGGGAAGGCAACAGAGCCGTCTAAAGTGGCATCCGACTGGATTCCTGGGGGGAGAGTGTCTGAAAGGCATCCCTATACCTTTGATACCCCACAAATGGGTACGTCCGAGCTGCCAGGAGAAAGTGTGTCAGGGAATTCAGCAAAGCTTGGAGAGACAGGGTGGGCTGGGCTGACCCGATGCATTAGGTCCGAGGAGAGGGGAGGGGATGTGGCTCAGGAAGGGGGTGTGGTTCAACCAGTGGGAAAAGAGGGGGCTGTGCACGAATCAGGAGGTGGATTGGACGTGAATGCATCAGGGGACATGGGAGAAAATGTGACGGGATGGGGGGATGAGGAGGTGGATGAGCCAATGAGCGTGGAGGAGAGTGCACGGCTGGTGGAAGAAGCACGAGGGGAGCTGAGAGGGGCACGGGAGGACATGGCTAAAGCGTTGGAGAGGCAGATGCATATGTTGGCTTCATGAGGCTTCGACAGCACGAAGATTCGGGTAGACTAAGGTTCGGCTGGTCTAAGGCTCAACTGAATTAAGGGTCGGCTGGACGAAAGCTCGGCTAGAGGAAGAGACTCGGCTGGACCAAGGCTGTGAGGGATGGAGGAGACGAGCCTAGAGGGTAGCAGGGTGGGTTCAGTCGCTGATGGTAAGTGGGATATGTGCAAGGAATAGCAAGGGATGGGAGGGGGGGGTTTGGGGGTGGGTGAAGTAAGGAAGGTGTAGATGATTTTGCATGCTTGTCTGAAGTACCTGTAAATACGTGGCAATGCATGCCATTTCCTTTTTGAAGCACTGGTGCTGAGACACGATTGAGAGTGGAAAAATATATTAGTAGGGGAAAATGGAACAAATGACACCTATGCCACATGAGGCAGCAGCATACAACAAGAATTCACACCATTGGAAGCAACAAGCGCCCCAGCAGCACAGCCGAGAAAGGAACCGTGAAATTGTCATCTAGCTTCTCGCTTATGGGACAGGATTCCATGAACGTCGCTCCTGCAGCTACGAGGAAAATTCTGAAGCAGATATCAGCAGACCACCACTGGGTGTGAAAGAACCCAAACGAGCAAAATATAAAGAGAAACCTGCAGTGGAGGTGGGGAGGAGGTAAGAATAAGGAGACCAAAATGAGATTCAGATAACTGTCTGCAGTACTTTCACCAATGCGCCAAGAAGCTTGCATGAAGTAACAACAGTAGAAGGTTTGCTCGAGCAGAAGCTGTTCAAACAGAAGATGCTTACGTTATTGAGAACAAGGAGCCGCACAGCAGCATGGCAACGCTCCCAGCCCAGCTCTTACGACTGTTCCAGGGAAGCTTCGCGGAACCCACTCGTCTACCAACAATGTCAGCCATTCCTGTGAAAGTAGTAGGAGAAATACATCATCAAAGGAAGTCCGTGTGAGATATTTATTGGTCAAAAGCATTTCCAATAAGGAGACCGACATAGAACCAGCGCCTTGAGAACCACCCCATGAGGAGAGGACGAACGTACCGTCCCCAGCACACATGAGCACCAGCGCTATGCCTCCAACGGGGGAGCTGCGCCAGAAGATGGTTGTGACTAAAACGATGGTGAGCACATAGTACAGAGGCCCCCGAAGCAGCTCGCTGGAGGAGGACAGGAAGTACAGGCGAGACACAACAATGAAGCCACCAGAGGAAGGGAACGTAGCTGAAAACCTTGAAACCCTCCATACGGAACTTCCAAAATCAAGAGGGCTACGTGAATGGAGCAATTGTGGCCTTTTCGCACAGCAAACGTCATGACGCGTGATTCTACACAAAGCCTTACCACAAACTGCCTCAGTGCCTCACCTGGCGCTGCCTTCTCTGCTGATAGACTTCACCACTCCCTCGTTCGTCGTGATACCCATTCCCAACAGCAGTATCCGGATAGCGTTCGCCACTGGAACGGCAACAGCGAGGAACCTTGCTGCTGGGTTGGAGCTGAACGCAGGCAGGGACGCAGAGTACAAGGTACAAAGCAAGGTCGACGGGAGGAACTTGAGAAAGAAAGGACTGGCGTGATCTCTACCTGAGCTGCAAGGCATCTAAAAAGACCATCAGGAATAAACTTGGAGATTGAAGTCACATTGAAGTTCTCTGAAAGGTCGCACCTGAAGAGAGGCCAGGAGAGCATGAAGAGCAGCCCTGTGGTGATGTGCACAATCTTGCGACTCAGTTTCTGCAGCAGAAACAGCAACAAAGAGAACAAAGGTCCATGAATTGTGGATGAACCACCATGGAAGGAGAAACAGGAAGCATTTGAAGTAGCAGAAACTTGGTTCTTTACAACAGTTCAGCAAAACAAGAAAGCAACTTCTCCTCACCTGATCCAGGACATCCCGTCTGGCCAGCTCATCAAACACGCGGACCCAAACCACCGAGCCTAGGAGGGTGAAAAGCGTTGCAGCTACGTCTTGCTGCCATGAACCCGCTAACGGCAGCAAGCCAGAAGCTAGAGCGACAATTCCAGCGTTCCCGGATGAAAAGCTAGTTCCAACATCGGTCAGTACAGGGTGAAAAGTCGACGGCTGCAGGTGGAAGAACGACGTTGGTGCCTGAAGCGACTCAAGTGCGGATCTCCCAAGACCTGTAACGAGTTTTGGAGAAGCAGATATCGCGGATTCGGCTGCTGCTGTTGCGGCTGGGACTTCGAAGGAGGCTGTAACACAGCTTCGTTTCAAAGACAGAAGTTTCTGTTGTGTTTTGTAAGCGCATGGAAGACAGCGTGACCGAGGCCATGCTAGACTGTAAGAGGAATGGCCTGCTGACGAGATCCTGGATTGGAAGCTAATAATGTCTGTCAGCTGACAGTGCGGAACAGAAATCGTCATGATAAGTTCCCGCAATAGTCTCTCATGGAAACAGACTACTATCTTCAGTTCAGACGAGAAATTTGTTCTTGTTAATAGGTTTGCTCTCGGGCGAAGGCCAATTTGGCAAAAATCTTCAGCTGGATCATTTCGGAAAGAGACGACTGAAGAATGCACAAAGTCCTGGGGACTTCCCTAGCAAACAACACTCGTGGGAGCCCATGACACAACTCCTAGGTACTGTAACCGAGATTCTCGGTGGATGGAACCAGGATTCTGCTTTACCCATCAATGGATCAGAGAGCTGATCAGAGTGTCGCACAAGACTCATCGCTCTGACGTGGATGTACTCAGCCTCGCATTCTGATTCGTCAATGAGGGGGCTGACAATCTCGCAAGTGGATAAAAGTCGCGAAAAGGCTGCCACTCGGATCGCGGAGGGGTGCGACGCGGTTATGATCGAAGCGGCAATCCCAGTATGCCCGGCGCTTGGCCCATGGGCCAGCTCGTCTGTCAGATCCCTGCTACTAGAGCACAAACCATCAGTGGAAGCTCCCAAGCCAAAATCAAGGGTTGCTTTGCCATTGCGGCCAGGCACAGGGCGGACGAATTCACAAGCATGAAATATGAATACTTACAATAATGAATGAGATCTCAAATATGAATACTTTTGTAGAATATACTTTCCACCGCCCTTTTACAGATCCTCCTGCGACCAGCTTTTTTGGCAAGCTACTAACGTGTGGTTTCTGAAGCGATTTGTAAGTGCATGAATATGCATGTCATAGACCAGTTTTACATCAGTGCTAACATCCTATAACATGCCTTCTTGTAAACTTCGTCATAACCCCCACATTTTCACAAACATTTACGACAGCTTCACATCAACCTCCACACCATACGGCAGCTCCAGCTGCATCAGAGCATCAATGGTGGTCGCAGTGGGGTTCTCCAGATCAATCAACCTCTTGTGCGTGCGAATCTCAAAGTGCTCCCGCGAGTCCTTGTCCACGTGAGGGCTGCGCAGAACACAGTACTTGCGGATGTGCGTTGGCAGACGCACCGGGCCCATGATGCCTGCTCCCGTCTCCTTCGCCACTTCGAGAATCTGCTCAGAAGCCGCCTCCAGTTGAGGCACCTGGTACGACTTGAGCTTGATGCGGATTCGCTGCTTCTGGACAGCCTGTATGAGGGAAGGTTATTGGGAGCGGGAGAAGTGGGAATGGGAAGGAGGACGGGACTGAGAGGTGGATAAGAAGCTGCCTACCATGTTGTAGGCGTTTCTGAAGATTCAAATAACGCCTACAGGGTACCATGAAACACGACGCAATGGGAGAGAATTGAAGCTAATGAGGCTATCAGAAGATGCAGAAGTGTGCATAGGGAGCACACGTGCACACTTTGGTAGGTCATGGCTGGATGGACAGCCCAAGGCGGAGCTGCTTCACGTGCACTCTACGCGACCTTAACACCAACACGTAGCGCTTGAAGGTTGACTCCTTCACCATCTACAAACTCGTCAGGCCACCTCCATATGCCCCCTCCGCCCGCCTCCTCCGTCTGCCTACCTCCGTCTGCCCCCCTCCGCCTGCCTCCTCCGTCTGCCCCCCTCCGTCTGCCCCCTCCGTCTGCCCCCCTCCGTCTGCCCCCTCCGTCTGCCCCCCTTCGTCTGTCTCCCTCCGTCTGTCCTCTTCCGTCTTTTTTCCCTGAGTCCCCCTCCGTCTGCCCCACCTCCTTCTCGTTCCCATCCGTCTTTCTCGCTTCGTTTGTCCCCCTCCGTCTGTCCTCCGTCTGTCCACCTCCGTCTTGTTCCATCCGTCTGTCCCCCTTCGCCTATCCCCATCCGTCTGCCCCCCTCCGTCTGTCATCCACTTGCCTCTGTACCCCCTTGTCTGTCGGAACTACAACTGTAACTCTCTCTGGCACGAGAGCACGAGAGGCCTCCACACAATCTGACAAAATTCCCATCAACAGACCTCACCGTGATTAATCCTCGCCGCTTCCCGTTCCCTGGTCATGTGGAAACGCAACCACTGCAGCCAGGCAAGCCCTCATGACACGAGACCAACCACTGCCGCGCGATACGATTCCCTTCCCTATGGTCCGAACGAGTCCCGTCTCACGGTCCCGTGTCCCGTGCACAACGAATCCTGTCACACGATCTTATTTCAGCCGAAACCCGTCACACGAATCCCACGATGCCCAGCACACAACGAATCCCGTCCTGTGACGCTAAATGCTGCCACAACCACCCGCTTCTCCGACCTGTCAAGCCCCCTCAAGCCACCTGCCCCCTTCCCGCCTTCGCTAAACACCTTTCTAGGCTGAGACACATCAATACGTGACTAGGATCCTAATAATATTTATCAAAACCGAGAAACTTAAGCTCTTGATGCAAGTGGATCCACACTGCTTTGACAGAGAGCATTTTCCTGGACGCACCGGGGCTGCGACAGCAGCGGCGGCTGATTGTGTGGCGGCGGAGGCGGCGACCACGCGGCGGTGCAGGCGCGCGGAGGGGGAGGCGGAAGTCGCCGCCAGCAGCGACCGCTTGGCGAAACCGCCGGTGGCTAGCTGGCACGGCGACGAGCCCTCTCCCGAGAGAAAGCTGGATTTCAACGCTCCCTGTTCGAACGGAGGTAAGGATTAGGGTTAGGCTGGAACAAAAAAAGGCTTACCATCGGAAGGGGGAACTTTTCTGAACATGTGTGTCGGCGGTTAGTTTAAAGTCGGGAACTTATTATAGAATGTACATTACTAACAGCGCAGCAGGAATGCGAGCTGACAAGTAAAACGAACATCTGTTCTTTCACTGTTCGAAGAATGACGTCATACAAGAAATCTTTTAAGAATCTTGCCTGTGTGGGCGTTGAAACTGCTCGAACTGACAGTGCAGTGACGGCAGCCATGGCGGCACGATGCGACGGCAGACTCAAGACGTAACTGGGCTTAGGAGTGCCGTACACACGAACTTCCCCGTACGCTAAAATAAGAGAGGGTTTAGGAGAAACCTAGCGTCTCAGCCAAAGCTGTGAGTCCATTGTCAATCCAAATGCCCAGAAATTGTTTGAAGTTTAGGTGGTTACCGAGCGAAACCGTTTGTTAACATTTTGAAACACAATATACCGTGGAAAACTCTCAACTTCCAAGTTTGCCACCTCCCGCCTTCGGTTGCGTCAAGGGGTAGTTGATCGTAGTTTTGGGGACGGTCACGGGGAGAGCGGCGCAAACGGAGGGTAAGGGCGCAAGAGGGGATGGGGGAAAGGTGGTAGTGTGTGCACCTCAAGGGTACGGGCGCGCGGAAGGCTGGCGCGCGTTCTGGATGAGGTTTAAGGTTTAAAGGTTTTTATAAGGTCGTGACCTTTTTACAAACATGCAACTAGAGAAGGATACAAGCAAAGCCTAGCTCCCCGTAGGGAGCACGTGTGAACACGTTATCCTCCTGCCTCAAGAGCAGAGATGTCCCAAGACAAATCTCTAGCTGACACGTGGTAAGGCTGTGGCGGGGGATCAAGGAGGGTGGAAAACGTCGTTGAGCAGCCAGGTATCGCGGAGCTCGGGATGGATGATTGGTTTGTCAGGTTCCGGGAACAGGAGGAAGCGATGAGAGTGAGCCAGCTTGGCAACTCTGGCAGCCTTGAGTTTCTTCTTCTTAGAGCCGCTGGAGAGTTTCCAAATGAGAATCTTATAGGCAAGGAGGAAGTAGTGTAGCACTTGAAATAAGGCATCCCCTGTTTTGGTGACCGCTTGTCTATAGCGGAAGCTGCATCGCGCGTTCCAAATTGATTTCGCCGCTGCACCCACGAGTAGACTCCACGGGGCACCTTGGCCAGCCGATGCCGCTAATGGGAAGAGGGTAAGTTCTGGAGAAGTTGTTACTCCTAAGTGGAGCTGGGCGGTGCGTTGCAGCGCTTCTATAATCGGTCTGGCGACTCCGCACTCAAACAGCAGATGCGGGAGAGTTTCGAGCTGTGCACTGTTGCAACCTGCGCAAACACCTTTGTCACGCGCAAAACTAAATCTGGATCCAGAAGGAAGAGCCAGCGCGTAGAGGCGGAAAAGTACATCTCGTTGAGACGAAGGTTGGTCTGAAAGGAAGGCATGTTTATAGTCAGGGAGTAGCGCAGGGCCGGGGCTGGGCAGCATATTGGCCCACTTGTACGGATGTGTCAGTTCCTGTTCGGCGTAGGAGAGATCGCGAATGGCTGCTAATGAGGGGATACCATCGGCCAGGAGAGGGAGACGGGCCGCCAGTCCAGCTCCAGAGCAAAAGGAACCCCCCAGCCACCTATCGAAGACGTGCATCGGCACCGTGTTGAAAGTCGAGAGCTGCTGACGCGCCACAGCTTCCTTTCCCATGCGACCTGTCTTGTCAACCTCGAACACGTTAGCGTAGACCCAATCGTCAAAAGGGCTGTCCTCGACCTGAAACGCCTTCCGGGGCGGGGAGAACATATCCTCCGCTAGGAGGACCCAATCACCTGCATACAGAGGAACGAGAGAGTGGGATGACCCCAGAGCGGCCCACCATTCCTTAGGCATGGCGTCGTAGATTTCGTTGATGATTCTTCGGCTGCATGGGTATTTTCGTGGGGGGTACTGAGCCATAATTTCGTGATCCGTGAGTCGGCGAGCTCCACTAGCATCCCGGCGCACTATGTGTCCAACCCGTACTTCTTCAATGAGCAGGAACGCTTCTTCTTGGATTCGTCCATACGGGCGGCCGCCGGGGTTGACGAAAAATCTGTTGAAGGGGATTGGTTCAGCCAGAATGCACCAGAATTCCAGTCTGGGGGGAAGGACCTCAAGTTTGAGTTCAAGAAAACATTTGACCTCTTCTCGTAGTCGGGTGGGGGTGGCAGGGGGGAGGGCAGAGGTGAAATCAGAGTGAAGTAGGAAGCCATGCAGGCCGAAGGGGATGGGTACGCACGTCCTGGCCACAGCAGCGCCCGGCTGAGGGGAGAAGCGGCGGAGGGCTCGTTGTATGTTTAAGGCTTTGATTTGTGCCGAAGGTCGGATCGCGCCCAACCCACCGTGCTCGATCTTGTTGTACAGGACCGTGTGGGTGAGGAGGCGTGTCGTTCGTCCCGCCGACTTGAACTTTGATGCGGACAGGAAGTTTCCTACCGCGTCATCCAGTGCTTTGGTAGTGGGGGAGGATGGCGGTTGGAAGCGTCCTGGATACGAGAGGGCTGAATTGAGATTCTCCGAGGACAGGTTTTTCCTGCACGAGGAGGTGGCATGAAGATTAGAGAGGAGGTTGGCCGAGCGTTTAACCTTTGCCAATGTGATGTTCCAGGTGGTATCGGTGAGACCGGAACTGCCCACGAAAATACCGAGGATCCGTTCGAAATCTGAGTGTGATCGAATGGGGATATCGCCTGCGCGGGTGATAGCGGAAGGGGAGAAGTTGAAGGGAATGACAGAGCACTTAGCCCAATTGGGATGCTCGCCTGCGCGTTCTGGATGAGGAAGTGGCTTTGTGTGAGGATATTGGGCCACGTACGCCCTAATTGATGTGCCAGGTGGCTACACAGTGTTTGCTCTTCGATATGAGCACATTCGTAAAAGTGACACTTCGATCCCTGGTTTGGCGCACCCGCGTGCCTCTGGTTCCTTCAGGCACACGCCTCAGGTAACCCGTATCCTTGTAACGTGCGCCTACTTCGAGCTGCCTAGGGTCACCGAAGCGGAGCCAAACCAGCTTCGTCTGGCTTGGCAGCCCCCCCAGACCTCAGATTAGTGGTTCGTGACCAATTGACGTTTTCCACGATCTGGTAACGCCAGCAATATGGGCGCTGGATGACGTGGGATGGGATGATGGAATATCTGCGGGGCGCTGACCGTCCTTCCTTGATTTGTCCAAAGCTTGCTTTGGTTTTGAAGCGGCTCGTGTCGCATCAGTTCAAGTGTACACCCTGTTTCTCGACCCTCTCACCTTGCGCGATTCGCTGCTACAGTGCGGTCAGGTGCCATAAACCGTATGGCTGAAACCTGCGGGCAAAGCCGCACCAGCTGACGGAGTGGTACTGGGGGCAAAATTTTTCTTTATCGCTGTATACCCTTTTCAACCGCTTTGAAACGCTTGGTTAATGTTCTTTACCATGCAGCATCCTAGCTAACCGCTTTCTTGTGAATGTGCTTGTACCGTCGGTGATAAGACCATTTCAAACGTGGTGACGTTCTACAACCTGTGCATGTTCTGCAACCAGATGCTCTGCTAGCGCGAAACAGGGTGTACACCTCAGCTGGGAAGGCGCCATGGCTGCCTCTCTTTTCTCCCCCACATCGATTCGCCCGTCGCTGTAACGCACCCGATCCCAGACGGCCCAAACAGCGCAAGCCACTCTGCCCATAAGGCGGCGATAATTTTGAACAGCCCATAGTGTACGCTACACGTATCGCTTCGATCAATTCCAATAACCTGAAGAGAAGAACGAAAAATATTCGTTCACCTCGGGCTGCTCTGAGAATGTGGGGAAAACCAGGAAACCGAACGGCGCAGATGTGCTTCGTTCCGTGCAGCGTTGTCCTCGGTCACGAAATCTTGGTTCAGCTGTTCTCGAACCGTCACGAATACCTGCTGTTCTGGCAGCCGCCATTCTTCGTGCGCGTTCTTCTTCGTCGTTCGTTGGTGCCCCTTCCCCCAAACCACATCGCCCTCCCTCCCAGGCCTGGCCCTCACATCAGGTCACGACTCCCAAACCTACCTGTTCATAGGACGATAGGCGCTTTGGCATGACGTTTTTTTCCTAGACACCACGCCCTTGCACGTTCATTTTTGAACTTATAGAGAAACTGCAACGTGCCGTCGCCGTCCGCAAGCGTGGTTACCTCATTCGTAAATTGTTATAAGCACACCCTGATAGGAGCGTCACGATCTTGGCTGCTGGATGTCACGTGAGGGACCAGCCGCTACCCCGCACCATATCAATGTATTTTAGTAGAACGAGACACACTCTAATCCAGACAGATACAGGACTTTCTCTGAGCACTCCGCAAAAAGCTTGGTACTTGGTCGCGGCGAGTTCATCCAACTTCGCCTTGTGTCAGCTGCTCAGGCACTGCGTACAGTAAAGCGCAGACCTAAATCTGTGCGCAGACTACATCAGTCGCGGACCATTACGTAGGAAGCCCGTTGCGTTGCGCGGCGCCACACAGCCAGCTCGTATTGAGCGCACGGCTCTCTTTTGAAGAAAAACAGGATTTTTTTTTTTTTTTTTTCAAGAAAGGGTATTTCGTCTACAGAGATGGGCGGAGCCATGGACGCTGCGACTTCGGGGGTCTGGGACCTCACAGTCGCCAGCTTACCTCAATTGCTCCGCCAGCTATCGCCATCCCCGCTAACAGCGCTGAACGGCAGCAGCGGCTTGGGAAATGATAGTAACTTTTTACTGAAGGGACTGCTTCAGCACAACATGCATACGGGAGTTGATATCCTATCGGGTGGTGATCCTTTTTTCGATGGGGCCTTCCTGCGCGAAATCTTCCTTGGAATTGATTTTTTCTCCGATGGCTGGCGTGGCCTGCGCGACACGCTGCACTACCCCGGTCTGCCGCGCGACGTGTGTGCGACTGTGCTGACGACGGGGCTCGTCGTTGCATGGTTGAGGCTCTTCGACCTGCTCGCGCGACGAAACTTGGTCGAGCGGGTGAGATTCATCACGCTCCTTTACCTGCCCCACTTTTTTTTGTCCGCGTCGCAAATCTTTGCCCATTGAAGCGGCTTTGGCTTGTTACTACCTTTTTTCCATCGCCTTATGTCACCCAAAGAAGCCGATTCGCAAGGTCCTCCACATCGCCATGTGCCTTTTCGTCGACGACTTGTGCAGCACATCCGTCGTTGAGCAACATCTTGCGACGGTCGTTCGCACGCTTGAGTAACATGCGCCACGTCGTGGGCGCGGATGATCCCCGTGCGACGTCTCGTGACTCGCACCCGCGCGATGTCGCGCAACTCACACCGGCGCGACGTCTCGTGACTCTCACCCGCGCGACGTCTCGCGACTCGCACCCGCGCGACGTCGCGACACTCACACCCCGTGCGATGACGCGCAACTCACCCATGCAACGTCTCGCGACACACACCCGCGCGACGTCGCGACACTCACACCCCGTGCGACGCCTCGCGACTCACATCCCGTGCGATGTCGCGCAACGCAACTTCTGCCCTACCACCGTCCCCCATCCCCCATCGCAGTCGCCGAGTCGCGAAAAACTTCACATCACCATCGGGACTTGTTCCTCAACTCAAAACTCACCTCTTGCCCTCCGCCCTGATAGTAAAAGCCTCTCACCTCAACACTTTGTGCAACGTCTCGCGACTAAAGAAAGCTTTGTAAAAGCCTGTACTTCGTCGTCTTGGGCCCATCCCCTCTCACCCCGTCGTCTCGCGCAGAAGCTGAGTCGCAAGGTCCTCCACATCACTATCGGTCGCTTTTTCGTCTTCGCTTAACTCGCCTTTTGTGCCCATCCCTCGTTCCCCAATCCCCATCACCTCGCGCAGAAGCTGAGTCGCAAGGTCCTTCACATCACTATCGGTCTCTTTTTCGTCTTCGTCTGTTGGCCGCTCTTCAGGTACGACCACTCCTCAGGCACGACCGCTCTTCAGGTGCGACCTCCCCTCAGGTACGACCACTCTTCAGGTGCGATCTCCCCTCAGGTATGACCGCTCTTCAGGTACGACCGCCCCTGCTCTTCTTCTTTTTGCCGGTTCTCATGTTCGCGCATCTCTCAGGTACTTCCGCTTCTCAACCCCTCTTATTCGCCTGCCCTCTTCCTCCTTCCCCCTTCCCCCTTCCCCTTCCGCCAGCGCGTATCCGCAGGCGCGGTTTTTTGCGGCGGCGGCCCCCGTGACGACGGCGGTGCAGCTCTTGCTGCTGGGGCTGGGCGTCACGCGCAGCGACGGGATCGTAAAGTCCATGAGCCGCAGCGGCAGCAAGAGGTGAGGGAAGGGGAAACAAGCGGGAAGGGAACGCGCGGGAAGAACGCGGTGGGGCCGGGTTTCACGCGCAACGATAGGATCGGAAAGTCCATGAGCCGCAGCGGCAGCAAGAGGTGAGGGAAGGGGAAACAAGCGGGAAGGGAACGCGCGGGAAGAACGCGGTGGGGCCGGGGTTCACGCGCAACGATAGGATCGGAAAGTCCATGAGCCGCAGTGGCAGTAAGAGGTGCGGAAATGGACTGGTTTCGGATGCGCCTCGAGAATATCCTGAAAAGCAAAGGATAAAGGGCCACGGCGGCAGCAAGCGGAAGCGAAAGGGCCGGGCGCAAGTGGGGAGGTGGGGGAAAGGGCCGGGCGCAAGTGGGGAGGTGGGGGAAAGGGCCGGGCGAGGTGGAGAAAAGTTCGGGCGGAGTGGGGGAAACGGGTCGGGCGCAAGGAAGAAGGGCGCGTGAGTGAGGACTTCCCCATGCGCCTGTCCTTTTCGACAGACTGGCTGCGCTATGTGTTTGCTATGTAAATTGGTAGTGAACAGTGCGAAGAAGGAAATAATTAGCATGTGCGATTGCAAATTGGTCATACCCATGTTATGTCATGAGCTTAATGTATTCTCCCTTGTCTATCCCTTGTTGTCGTTGTGATGTATGCAGTGAATTGTTAAGTGGGCCTTTGTGTTACGCGGTTACCATAATGCTCATGACTGTGGTGTACTGGAGAACGTCTCCTGTGGGAATGCTTGCTCTTGTCATCATGTGTGGTGGAGATGGTGAGTCAGCATGGGCGTGAGTCAGCAGAGCATGTGCATGAACCGGGATGGGTGTGAATCAGCGTGGGCGTGAATCAGTATGAGCTCGAGTCATCTGTGACGCATCTCTGACACAACTCTGACGCATCTGTAAAGCATCTCTGATGCATTGCTTCCATACCTAACGCTTCAACTGTCTGCACCTCCCAAGCCTAATCCGAGGCATTGCTCTAACTCTCCTCCCTTCAGGTGTGGCGGACATTGTGGGGCGGCGGTGTGGTTCCTGGAAGCTTCCATGGAATGAGCAGAAAAGCTGGGCTGGCAGTGCTGCCATGCTGCTGTGCGGATTTGCTCTCTCATTAATGTGAGTGTTTTGAACATTGCTCCAATCATTAGTGCAGGTGTCTCCAAGTCCTGCTCACTGCAGTCTTAATTCCTCTCTGTATGGTATCGATGCATCCTGATTGCATTATTTTTCCTTCTGCCTTCGTCCACAGCTGGTCCTCACTTTTCCCCCATTATCTCCCTTCCGAACCCCACTTGCCGTCTCTTTTCCCAATTCCAACCCCACCCAACAGCTATTTATGGTTCTTCTGTTTCCTAGGCTTCTTCTCCTGCCCTATTCCCTCCCACCCTCTCCTCCGGGTCTTCCTAATAAACTTGGGAGCTACAGTAGTTGAATCGTTGCCTGTTAACTGGTACATCGATGACAACATATCTGTTCCTGTCACGGCTGTGCTTTTAAGCAAGCTGCTACTAACGAATGCATAGCCAATGTGCCTGAAACAGGTGATTGGGCGCTTGATTTATTAGTCAGTCATCCAGTAGATACAGTAGGTGATATGTGGTTGTGATTTTTTGTGGTGCCACTAATAAAGACAGCATTGCATGTCTAAAGAAAGAGATTGACTGCTGAATTTGATTATTTTACTTTCATTCTGAATGAAGGTGTTGCTTTTAATCACTTCACATGTAAGGTATGCTGAAAGATGTCTGATGATTGAGCAATAAGAAAAATGTTGGGAGAGGTAAGGGGTAGATAGATACCAGAATTGTGTTAAAAAAATTGAGCACCCCAAGGTGAAAGTATACCAGCTGTTTTGTACAAAATGCAACCGGTACCTGGAACGGTAGTGTACTGTAAACGCTATAGACGCCCTAAGGAGCAGTCTTGGTGGATGCCTTGTAAATGCGGAAGGCAGCAAAGCAGACGGTGCAGTTTCCAAGGAGGGTCATGAAGGACTGCAGCACGACGAGACCCTGAGAGGAGGGCAGGTAGAGGAGGGAGAGGTGTTTCAAGACTCAAGACCCCCCCCAGAAGTGCTTTTGCTCCACTTGAAGCAGACGGTGCAGTGGGGGAAGAAGAGGAGGGAGAGGAGGGAGAGGAGGGAGAGGAGGGAGAGGAGGGAGAGGAGGGAGGGGAGGGAGAGGAGGGAGAGGTGTTTCAAGACTCAAGACCCCCCCCAGAAGTGCTTTTGCTCCACTTGAAGCAGACGGTGCAGTGGGGGAAGAAGAGGAGGGAGAGGAGGGAGAGGTGTTTCAAGACTCAAGACCCTCCCCAGAAGTGCTTTTGCTCCACTTGAAGCAGACGGTGCAGTGGGGGAAGAAGAGGAGGGAGAGGAGGGAGAGGAGGGAGAGGAGGGAGAGGAGGGAGAGGAGGGAGAGGAGGGAGAGGAGGGAGGGGAGGGAGGGGAGGGAGGGGAGGGAGGGGAGGGAGAGGAGGGAGGGGAGGGAGAGGAGGGAGAGGAGGGAGAGGAGGGAGGGGAGGGAGAGGAGCAGCGGCACCATGGATGGAGGCATAAGCCATCAGGCATGCATGCATGGGCGTCACACATGGGGCACCATGTGCACATGGGGCCCATAAGGACAGGCACCATGGGGCACCACGGGGGCACCATGGGGCACCATGGCCCATGCCGACCATACGGCGACACACAACTGTCGTCCTGGGTGTAGACATCTGGCTTGTCACATATCTCTAGCTGTGGCGAGTTGTAAAAGAAGTGCCACGTGCACGCACACATATCGCCCATGAGAAGCGGCACCATGGCCCATGAGAAGCGGCACCATGGCCCATGAGAAGCGGCACCATGGCCCATGAGAAGCGGCACCATGGCCCATGTAAATGCGCTAGAGTGATTGGTCAGACCCAGTTACTCGATTACCTCTAACTGCGGCGAGTTAAAGAAAAAGTGCCACGAGCATGCACACATGGCCCCCATAAGAAGAGGCACCATGGCCCATGCGAGGCCCCTCCACGGCATCACAAAACAGAACCCTACATGGAACCAGCTGTAGCCCTGGATTACCTCTAGCTGAGGAGAATTGTAAAAGAAGTGCCATGTGCACGCGCACATGGCCCCCATGAGCAGCGGCACCATGGCCCATGGCACATACACGGTTGTGCTGGTCCGTGCATGTAGTGTAGATAGCATGCTGCATATCTCTAGCTGCGGCGAGTTGTAAAAGAAGTGCCACGTGCACGCGCACATGGCGCCCATGAGAAGAGGCACCATGGCCCATGCGAGGCCCCCCCACGGCGACACACAGCTGCCTGGGTGCATGCATCTGCTTGCCTCGTACCTCTAGCTGCGGTGAGTTGTAAAAGAAGTGCCACGTGCACGCGCACATGGCCCCCATGAGCAGAGGCACCATGGCCCACGCCAGCCCCCTCCACGCCCTCCTGCTCTCCGCTGCCCCGTACTGCCACACCAGTGCCATCGCCACCACCCTGGGAGGGAGAGGGGAGTGGAGTTGAAGTGACAGGCGGGGAGTAAGAGATAGGGGGATGCCTGACGCATCAACTCCCTTCCCTCCACGCCCTCCTGCTCTCCGCTGCCCCGTACTGCCACACCAGTGCCATGGCCACCACCCTGGGAGGTAAGGAGGAGAGCACGAATGGGACAATGGGATGCCAGAAGCATGAGATGAGATCACAGGGATGGTTGCGCAATCAGCCCCCTCCACGCCCTCCTGCTCTCCGCTGCGCCGTATTGCCACACCAGCGCCATCGCCACCACCCTGGGAGGAAAGTGGAGGGGGAGCAGGAGGTGTTAACGACACCCTGAATGATGCGTCCTTATTACGTCCTTCTTACGTCCTTATCACACCCTATGTTACATCTGCCTGTGTTGATCTCCTGACACCCACCAGCCCAAGCCGCAATTGTTCCGAGTCGCGCTCACCATTCCACAACGCTTGCCACGTGGATGATCCACGTGGGCAGCGACAGCGCGTTGGAGGGCTCGTCGGCCAATGAGAGCGCGCCAAGGAGGAACAGCTGACTCAAACTCGCCAATGCGCCATCGCCAGCTGTCCCAACCGCGGCGCCTGCTGCTGCTGCTGCTTCTGCTACCGAGCTGACGTCAGCACCGGTAACCGCAGCAACGGCTGACGGGGCGATAAGAGCACTCAAGGTTGTGACTGTAGCGAGGGTGGGAATAACGAGCAGGGATGTGGCATTATCGGAATGTAGCGAATCATTGATCTGGGGAGGAGAGGTGGAGGGAGAACAAGAGAAGCTTCGTGCCGGATTCCTTGATTCTGCGACCGCGGAGACGGGAGGTACTATGGTGGACCTTCGTGTAGCGGTACTATGCGGCAACGGTCCTAATCTCGTCTCATGAGACCCTTTCGAGCGAAACAGCCGCGCGAACGAAGCGCGAGGTGCAATGGATGGCGGTTGTTGCGTGGCGGGGCTGAGCGGCGGCAGTGACGCCCTCGTGCTGCTAGCAATGGCCGCCATCACGAATCGCGATACAATCAACGACGACACGAACAGTCTGGTGAATCTACGTTTAGTAACATTTACGAATATATTTTATTTCAAAGTTTCCCACGGATCTGTGGCGCAATGGTAGCGCGTCTGACTCCAGATCAGAAGGTTGCGTGTTCGATTCACGTCAGGTTCAAATCCTGCTTTTTGAGTTTTTGTGCCATCAGAACCCTCCCTCCACATCTGTGCTTGCTTGGTTGAAAGCCTTACCGTCTGCTGCATTCACATTGCAATGTCAGCACATGGTGCTGCTAGGACGTGTGAATGTGAAAGCAGCGTATAGTGGTGGTCCACCATTAACACACTCCTCTCGTCGTTATTAACATTCTGTCTGTATCCACTCTACAGGTCACTTCGTTATTCGTCCCCCGTCAGTCTGAAGTTCCCCTCGGTTCTCACTTCGCGCTATTTCCCGCCTTCTCGAGTCCCTCAAGCTTCCACTTTCCTGCCAATGGCTAGCGGTTCCCGAAAGAGGCGGTTAGCATTAACTACCCACGCGGATAGCGGCCTTCTGTCTGAAGCGCCTTCTGACGGAGCGCTATCTGGAATTCCTCCCGCGACCGCGACTGGGAGCACTGCTGCGCCATTTGAAAGCACCCCCGCCATTGGAATTGGTGGGGGCACTGTTGCGCTATCTGGACGCCCTCCCGCGACCGCGATTCGGAGCACCGCTGCGCCGTTTGAAAGTATCCCCGCTACCGCGACTGGGAGAACCTCCGCCATTGCGATTGGCAGCACTCGCGCGACCGCGATAGACTTAGTTACTCCCGCAATTACCGGAGGTAGCTCTCCCCAAACCGCGATAGTCTTGGCGGAAACGGGAGCAGTAGGAGGTCGTTGGGGAACGACCGCGACCGGCTGGGGGAGGCCGCGCGGAGCCGTTGGCGCAACGGCGGAAACCGCGATATACTTGGGGGAATCTGTAATAGACCCGGCGGAAACTTTGATAGGCTTTGCGGAGACCGGCGCAAGTCACGGCCGGAAACGCCAAGCGCGCCAAGCGGCGGAAACGGCTCTCGCAATCTCAGCCGTTAATTCGACTCCCTCACCTTCGCGAGCCGTTAGAGCCTCGCGCGGTTCGCGAGGCCGAGCCGCGAAGCCAGTAGTGGAGAAGCGCCTAACGCGTTTCCTTCCGCACCCGTCGCGTGCGGTTCTAGACCGAATAGAACGCGCCTACGTGCATCGTCTGTACTTAATCGGCTTTGACTGGCCGCGCGCGCCCCGCGGAACTGGCGAGGCCGCTAGCAGGGGGAATGTTGCGCCTGGCTCGGGTGGCGCGGGTGGTGCAGGAGATACAGGTCTCGCTCTAGCTCTTCCGCCTCCGCGCACCCCTCCTCCCCACAACCTTCCGCCTCCGCAATCCTCTCTCTCCCCATCCTCCCCCCTTGGCACACCCCCAAGTGCTCTCGCGATTTCCACTCCCCCCACCCCCACTCTCGCCAGTTCCCCCACTCGCGCTCTTTCCGCCCCCCACACCCCCGCCTCCACCCCTCCTCCCTCCGCCTCCCCGCTCCGCCCGTGCTCCTGTAACTTCCACGTGCTGGGCGCAACCGGTAACGTCTACACGGTTACCATTTCGCAGCAGCCGTCGTGCACGTGCCCAGACTACGGCAATGGCAACCTGTGCAAGCACGTGCTCTTTGTGCTGCTGCGCGTGCTGCATGTGGACGAGGAGGATCCGCGCGTGTGGCAGCGCTCGTTGCTCTCTACCGAGCTAAACGAGCTTCTGGATAGGATAGACGCGCTGGAGAGGACAACACTCGCTGTTGCTGAGGAGGGTGAGGAGATTCTAGCGAGTCCGGCTGTAAGGGAGCAGTTTGCACGCATTGCAGGGGGGCAGCCTGGTTCTGGTGCTCTGGGCTTGACTGATTTGAATTCCAGGAATGAAGGTGGCAGTCAGGCTGCAGTTGGGGGGACAGGCCAGAGGCCAAAGCAGCGGCCGATCGAAGGGGACTGTCCCATCTGTTACGAGCCTCTGGGAGGGGCAGGCGCAGGGAAGCGTGGTGGTGGGAAGCCAGCAGAGGCGGTGGTGTTTTGTCAGCGCTGCGGTAACAACGTCCACTCGGACTGCTTCTCTCGTTGGAAGGCTGCCAAGAGGGGCGGCATGGTGACGTGCGTTTGGTGCAGGGCTCCGTGGGGGGATGGGAGCACGGCGCACAGGGCTAGGGCACACCATGACAGGGATTCTGATAGTGATGATTATGAGGACGAGGAGGGGCCTCAAGAGTATGTCAATCTGTCGCAGTATTCTGAGGCTCACAGGAGTGCGGATGCCAGCTTGGAATCTCTGTATCCAGATACACACATGTTCTTTGGTGGAGGAAGGAGGAGGCTGAGGCGGCCGTGGTGGTAGTGAGGGCTTCGTGTTGTTTTGGGTAAGCTGAGCTATAAGTGCGAGGATAGAATGAATCTTGTGTGCTATTGTGTAGATTGATGGGCGTTGGTGGAGATAGCAAGCTGAGCAAGTTATGTTGCCTGCACTACACTAAAAATGGTTCAGAAACTTACGGTACCTATGTCAGCCTGTATCCTTTGCCGAGAGGACAAAGGAGGTTAGTCGGCTACTACTGCTAGAGAAGTCTAGCATAACTAGACCCTCACTTTAGCACCTTTACTTATAAATACCCCATAGCTAGCTACGTACTTGGAGTGACCTATAGATGTGCTACTGGATCCCAATGCCAGTGTATGCGTATTAGTTCTGGGAAATGGTGAACAGCGGTCCGCGAGGGCCCCGAGGGTTCCCCGACTTCTGCATCGCAGCCTTAAGTTTACCAGGAGAAGGAACGCCTCGCTTGGGTGAGGGGGCTGCTTTCAGAGGAAGAGGCACTAGCACAGGCCCGTTGGCCTGATTGGGTCGATGACACATCCTCAAAATGTCCTCCTCTGTTGGAATCTCAAACCGCCGCTTCTGTGGAGTTCTTGACGTATGTGCATCCGGCTGCATTAAGGAAGCACACTCACGTCAACATAATACACCACAGAAGCCCATGCTGACAAAGAATGAAGGGTTTGACTATACTTGCCTTCAGATCCTCCTCCAGATGTCTCTTCATGCTTCCCTTGACGTCCTCAACTTGCTGCTTGTGGTGGTCCAGTGCCAGTGGCACAGAATGAGATGACTTAACAAGCGAGGATGCGATACTTGTGAGCTTCTCCTGCTGTGCACCATAACTTCCTGCAAGGGGGAAAACGAATAGAGAAACAAGTGATTATTATATGCAAGGTGGTGTTGACAGGAACGTGGAACTTCAGAAATTCATGGTTTACCTGAAATCATAGTGACGAGCTTGTCAGCTCCTGCATTGCACGTTGCCTCAACCTGCTCTTGGTCAGTTGTACTGTTGCCAAGGCTGGTTGACTCTAGATTGTGCTCCCTGCCAAAATACACCAAGTTAATTTTACTCTCAGAGGAAAACGGGACTCGGACTTCAAAACTGTTGCGGATTGAACTTCTCTCTCAGTAGGCTTACCCGATGCTCTTTTTCATACGGTCGCAATAAGATTTGGACCGTGATGCAAGCAGTGATAGCTGTTCACTGCTATCTACATCCATCCTTTCCACGCAACCCGCACTGCATTAGGGAACACAGAGGAAGTTGAGGATGAGGAAATTGTGTGCGCGTGTGTGCATGTGCAACTCAATGCATTCACAATGGCTCCAGGAAACTAAAGCACAGAGGAGCACAGGGAAAAGGTGGAAAGCGTACAGAGGGGCGAACAACAGGAACAGAGGAACAGATGGAGGGTGTAAGAGGCTGAGGAAGATGCCTACCACGAAGCCACCTTCTCGCCAGCTTCAGACTTCTTGCGTGCAACTTCATTGGAGGCCTCCGTGTCAGCCATGGCTTCCTTTTCTCGAAGATCAGCAATGCCGCTTGAAATGTTAGAGAAAACACCCTTCACAGCACGCCTTTTATCATCATTTGCGGAGCGTAAATTCTTCACACTGGCTCCCATGCGAGCAATCCGTCCCTTGACCTAAAAATGCCAAGCAAACATGCATTAGGGATCATTGGTTCAAGAAACGACAGGCTGAATCACGTTATTTGCTCACACACCTCGTCCTTGGTGTCGTTCATCCCTTGCTGTACAATTTCGGTCACTGCCTCCATAATCCTCTTGGCCTTCTGCATTTCAATGTCCTGCAATCACAGAAATGTAAGCCATTGAGATACATCTTTCACCTTCAAACACGGATGCAAAGCCAACTTGCGACTTACCATCACCGCCTTCTCTAGGCTGCTCATATCCTCTTCATGACTCTCCGTGTGATGAGCTATCATCTCAGCCCAAGCAGTTGTCTCTTCATACAATCGTTCAATCAAGGCTTCCATGGACGACAGGGCAGAGGAAGACTCTGCTCTGCGCTTCTCCAAATACTGCAATATCCAAGTGACAATGGATCAGGAGAACGAAAGTTGGATGCTTACAACCCTAGAAAGTCTACCATGCCCACCTGATTCCACCACCCTTGCACGTTGTCCCAGCCAGCTGAGAGACCGGTCAGCAAACTTTGGATTTGCTGAACTGATGCTTTAGATGAGGCAGAAGCTTCTTCAAGTAGCTGCAGGCAAACGATAACCTTGCGTGAGCAAAATCTGCACAATATCTGGGACGATAACAGTGGGAATAACATTGTTGTTCTTACGAACCTTCTCCATCTCGTCCTGTTGTGGACCGAGACCGTCCACCAAGGACTGGAGGGAACTGTTGTTCTTATCCACAAACTGCTGCACGCGCTCCTTCATGAATCGTGTAGCACCGAACACCTTCTGCTGCAACTGAGATACCTCCTCCGTCACTTGGTCCAAATCCTGCATCAAGTGGAACATACAGTTAGTCAATCATTGCTCAAAAGGCAAAAATGCTCAACATAAAGAAGATGAGGAGCCACTGTCTGAAGAATACCTTAGTTGACTGGCTGAGGACGTCTTCAAGGCCCTGTGATGCTTGTTGCTCTTGGAAAGCAAGAATCTCCATCTGCTTTACTACAAAGGCCCGAACACTATCGACTTGACTGTCCATTTGCTGCTTCAGACTGGTAGCTGCAGCCTGGTTGTGGACTGAAGTTTCCTGCATTCTCTCTGATTAAAGAGCAAATGTCAGTACAAGTCTTTCTAACCAACACGGACTCTGGATAGAAATGACGCAAGTTCCAAGGACCAAGCTCACCAATCTTTTCAAACAGTTGAGTATTATCGTGATTGACGTTGATGAGCATTTGTCGAAGGCCATTGCAGGTGATAACCAGCTGTGTCTCTGCCATCAAGTACAGGGCGGCAAGGAGAATCACATAGCAATGAGAAAGATGCTGAACAAATTCAGTTGCATTGACCCAGGAGAGTGGAGGCTGAGAAACTCCAGTACAGAAATACAACCAAAAACATAAAAATTACCAGCTTGAGTCATGCTTTCAATAGTTGATACTGCTTCTCGAAGATCAGCTTCAGTCTTCTCCAAGCTTTGGGAAAGCGAGACAACTTGTCCCTGAAAAACACAACATTTGTTGGATAGGTAATGATAGGTAATACTCTGTACAATTTTATTCAACAAGGAACCATATGACTTCACTCAGTTGTTTCAGTTACCTGAAGACCATCCCTCTCCTTGGTCAAATCATCCACTCGGCCCGAAAATACCTCCAGTTGCTCACTGAGTTGCTTAATCTCCTGCACATGGCAACACTTATTTTCAGGTGCCACTATGAGACCAAAAAGATTTGCATTGAATGTACACAACATTACTTACCTCCGCCTTCTGCTCGAGCTCGTCACTGTTTTGGCCAGTGAGGTCCTTGAGGGACTGCACCTGCTTCAGCAGGTTCTCGTGCTGCTGAACTGTCAGATGAACGCCTTCCTTCTCGCGCTGAGCCTTCAACTCTGAAACATAGATCCGCCAGTCGAGTTAGAGCAGGAATTTTAGTAGAAGATAACAACAGACATGCCAGTAGTTGTTACATACCTTGTTTCAACCTCTCAACTTCTCCTGCCATGTCCTTCAGTAGCTTAGACTTCGTCGTCCTTTGGTTAACCTGGAAAGTTTGTCAAATGTTAGATTTTATGTCGTTTCCAGATCACCAGATGTGGATAGTTTGCCATGCTCACCTCGGGCTTGTTCTTGATATTCTTAGCACGCTGAGCATACTCTAGCGTGTTCAAGGTCTCTTCCAAACAAGGAGCGACAGGAGAGACTGTTGCAATAATGCAAGTCTTTGTCCGGCCTCCAAGAGAGTCACGAAGCAACCTTGTGAGCTTGCTGTCCCTGCATGATTCCACTTTGTAATCGGTGTCAACCCATTGTTAAGATTCATCTAATATTGAGGTCACACCATTGACTGATCTTACCTGTAAGGAATGTGACCGGTGTGGTCTACAAGGGCTGTGATTACTCGTCCCAAAGTCAGGAGGCTCTTGTTGATTTCACCAGCTTCTCGTGCGCGTCCCTGGAAAGAAGCATGAAAATATTAGTTTGATGAAAAGAACCATCCATAAGGCTTCACGTACCAGAACTTACTTCTTTGGCGCCGGATCTTCCTATGCACTCCGAACCAGCAAGGTCGACCAGGTTCAGCTTTCCGCACTTGATCAGTTCCACACCCTCCGGAGTTGACTCCTTGATGTGAATAGTGATAGTGAAGATGGAGTGGGAGCGGCTGCACATGAAAGGATATAAATACAGCACATACAGACTCGTTCAGGCTGTCATAAAATTACAATAGAAAGCAAGCATGAGTAAGTGTTGCAAACGAACCTGGACTGCTTGTTCAGCATCGTCTCTGCTGTGCGTCTCTTGGCCGACCCCCTCTCCAATAGCGTGAAAATGTCAGACGAGTTGTTGACAACCTCCTCTTCAAGGCCACGTACAATCACTCCGCCTTTACCATCTTCCATCAAGGCGAGTGGCTTCTTTGACTCGGACGCCACAAGGATGTCATTTGGAGCCAGAAGGTCCGTTATCTCTTCGTTGTAAAGCTCCAGGTAAGTTACTTTGATGTTGTACTCGGCTCCCTGACTATCAAGGGTGTCGAAGATATGCCTGATAGACCGTGGAATTACTCCTGCTCCTTCCGGAAGTTGGCCATTCTCCTGCGAAAAAAAACACACACGCTGTCAGTACGGCAGGGAAAATGCCAAATCGGGATTCAGAACGCGGTTCGGCACTCACTCCGGCTCGGGTTACGTCTCCTTGCATAGTAAAGGTCTTCCCCGTCCCCGTTTGGCCGTAAGCGAAGATCGTACAGTTGAAGCCTTTGAGGACCTCCTCGACAATAGGTGCGATCGCGAGCTTGTATAGGTGCTGCTGCTTCGACGTCGGTCCAAATACCTGCAGAGGACATCCATCAAACTCTCAGCGAACGCGATTTCTAGATTAGAACTGAATCGACCTTGCTATTTCATTGCATGAAGCTTACTCTATCGAAAGTGAACGCCTTTTCGCTTGACTTCCCCGCGACATTATGGGAAACCATGACTTCCTTGCGGGATTCATTACATTTGACCACCTGTTGTGCTCGTAGCCGCACATCGTCCGAGGATAATGGCCTGTTCAAGAAGGCGGCGACGATCAGAAATCTGGAATTTGATTCTAAACAGCTCAAATAAACCCCTCAATGTGAAATGTTTACCTGCATCGCAATAATACTTGGACATTAACCCCTTTGTCAGTGTTGGACGCCATTACGTCCAAGCTCACTAGCTATACGACAACCGAGCTTAAGTCTAAGGACACACTCGCTATGCCAGTCGATAATCACAAGCCAGAGGACTATTAGTCAGCAGTCTAAACTGCTTTTCCTAGGACGTTACACCACTCTTTGACTTACTCCCTGAGTTTCAGAGATAGCGGTGAATAGCGTGCTTGATTGCAGCGGAGGGAACCAGGGAGATGAGGAGGTTCGTTTCTCCTGGTCTCCCTGATGTGTTTCGTTGCTCTGCTCTCGGGTATTCCAGATCGAGTCGCGTCAGACCTTGGAAATGCCGTGTCAGTCTCTGAGTGCTTGTCAGAATTCAAATATTTCGCGCTCAAACGAAGGATTTCGCTAAGAGATGAGCTCGATGTAAAAATGTTCGAAGTTGAAGAATACGTAGCAGCGCTATAGAAATATCAAATAATAGCATAACATAACGAATTCAAAGAGTAAGACTGACACATCAGGAAGAGTTCTAATCTATCTAGCATGTTGTGAAACGAGCTAAAATGGAGCATTAGTCAATATTTTTGTCCATAGTATCAATACCAATACTGCCACTTATTTGTGCATATTGCTGCCGACTACTGCAGCAGCGCACGGATAATGTGCTTCACATTTAGGCGGCGCAGGTCAGTGTATGTCTGACCACAGCCGACAAAAATGATGGGCGCCCCTGATACATACACCATGGACAGGGCAGCACCAACCTGCTCCCAAACAAGAAACGCAAGAAAGCCTGAATTAATCTTTGACAATAAGCAAAATAATTGGCAACATCCAAGTGAAAGGAAAATTCACCCTAGCTCTGAAACCAGAAACTCGAGAGCTCACCTTATCATCTATAGTGTCAAACTTGGTGAGTAAAATGCCGTCAATGGCGTGGGGAGTGGGAGCAGAGGAGAGGTCAGCCAAGCGCTGGTTGAACTTGGTCAGCTGATCCACTGCATCGTTGCCCACCAGTGCCTCCCCCACAAACAGAACCTGTTGTGCCCATGGTAATGGAGTGGCATTGAATGGGAAGGCATATCACATAATTAGGTGACTCAACAGTGGTCAGCTAATCCACTGCATCGTTGCCCACCAGCGCCTCCCCCACAAACAGTACCTGCTCACAGCCACGGTGGATGGGATGGAAGGAGCATGAAACAACACATGCGTTCACACGTTTAGTACCTCAGAAAGGGAAGAGATCAGCCAAGCGCTGGTTGAACGTGGTCAGCTCAGCCATGGCAACAAACAGATGGTCGAAACCTTTGCTGGGAAAATCTTAGCCAGAGCCACACACACACGACAGCATCCACCCAAAAGGTCAGGTTCGTTGATGTTAATCAGTTTGGAGAGCGCTCGCATGAGCGGCTCGTTGTCCTGCATGCGCCCGGCTGTGTCCACCAGCACTGCATCCATCTTGGTGCCATCCTCTTTCAGTCGCCTCAGGAGGATTCAACAAACCATACGCACCAGGCGAGGCAGAAAGGTTGGGTTGACCCTAGCCATATCCACACATGGCCTCACAGAACCGCACATAACCGCACAGCCGAACACACCCACCCACCCACCAGATCAGGCTCGTTGATGTTAATCAGTTTGGAGAGCGCTCGCATGAGCGGCTCGTTGTCCTGCATGCGCCCCGCCGTGTCCACCAGCACTGCATCCATCTTGGTGCGCGTCGCCTCCCTGATCGCCTCCTTTGCCACCGCCGCTGGGTCCTTCTCGTACCCCCGCTCAAACAGAGGGATCTGCAAGGGGAAAGGGAGGGGGGAGGGGGAGGGGGTGGGGAGCGAACAGTAGAGACAAAAGGAGAGGAGATAAGGTAACTTGATTACTTTATCGCTTCCTTTGGTGCTCCTGCTGAGTCCTTCTCAAACCTCTGCTCAAACAGGAAAAAATGGAGAAGGAGAGGAGAGAGAACATTAGAGAGACAAGGATGGTGGGAACGGGCCTGAGGGCACAAGAGGCACGCACACCTGACCTGAGGGGCACAGCAGCACACACCTGCAGCCTCCTGGCGTGAGTGCGGAGCTGCTCCACAGCCCCAGCTTGGAAGGTGTCACCATCACCTTGATGTCATGCTGTGACAGCCAGTAGGCCACCTTGCCACCTCGCATCCCTACACTAGCGCACATACATGAGAGCACAGAGCCACAGAGGCATACGCACCTGCAGCCTCCTAGCATGAGTTCGGAGCTGCTCCACAGCCCCCGCACGGAAGGTGTCGCACGCCGCCACCATCACCTTGATGTCGTGCTGCGACAGCCAGTAGGCCACCTTGGCCAGGTTGGTGGACTTGCCCACCCCGTTCACCCCCACAAACACCACCACGTAGGGCCGATTTGCCTCCTTGGCAGCCTGGGGAAACAGAGAGGGCGAGAGGGTGAGGGGAAGAGAGAGGGAGCGTCTGACGCAGGCTGTGACAGCCAGTAAGCCACCTTGGCCAGGTTGGTGGACTTTCCCACCCCGTTCACCCCCACAAACACCACCACGTAGGGGCGGTCAGCTTCTTTCGCAGCCTGGGGGGAGTTAGAGTGAGAGTGGAAGAGAAAGTACAGCTGAGTCAATGCAAAAGGCTGGGTTATGATGACAGCCAGTAGGCAGCTATAGCCAGGTTGGTGGACTTGCCAGGTTGGTGGACTTGCCAGGTTGGTGGACTTGCCAGGTTGGTGGACAAAAGGCTGGGTTGTGGGAGCCAGCAGGCCGCCTTGACTAAGTTGGTAAATTAGCCCACCCTGTTCACCCACACGAGAGAAGAATCTACAGACTACAGGTACCAAGAGGCGCTCATGCTCTCTCACCTGCACGTCACGCAGAATGTCGATGGAGCGCTTGGGCGTGAGAATGCGGGTGAGCGCATCCTCCATGGCCGCCTGCAGCAGGTGAGGTTGCGAGAGTGTGGGGGGGAGGGAAAAGACGTGAAACGTAAGGGACATGGAGGGTTGGAAGTGAGGATGCACCTCCTCATCTCTCCTACCTCCCTTTCCCCCCCTCAATCTCCCCCCTTGCTCCCCCCCCCTCCCTCTCCCCCCTCCCTCCCTCTCCCGCCCTCCCTCCTTCCCTCCCTCTCACCTGCACGGTGGAGGAGATGCGTGTGAAGGATGCGTGCTTGCTGCCCACCAGGCTCGACGCCACCGAGCGGCAAAGCTTCTCCGCTATCTCCTCCGCCTGGTGGGGATTGGGGTGAGAGACACACACACGCAAGGCGGAAAAAAAAAAAAAAAAAAAACGAACTGAAGCATTGGAAAACAAAAAACCGAAGAGGGAAAGGAGGGATATGGACTGAGTGAAGGAATCAGAAGCGGACTGGTGAAATGGCTAAAGGGGATGACAGCAGGATTCCCAGGTGGGGTTGACAGCTTACCACGTTCTTGGTCATGAGGCGATCCTTGAGCACCTTGAGCGACGGCTCTATGTCCGCCAGTTCGAGAGACGCCTTCCCCACCACGCTGAGGCAAGGGATAGCAAGAGAGGCAGAGGGGAGAAGAGTGGGAGTGTGGTGGGGTGATGCGAATGTACGGAATGAGCGGACGGCTCAGTGTCTGCCTGCCTACAGGGACGCTACAAGGAAGCAAACGACCCCCCTCGCCCTCCCCTTCCCCTTTCTCCTCCCCTCTCTGGATAATTGAAGCACGCCTGCCGGTCTTCTTCCCCTCACTGCCATCGTCCCCACAAACCACAAGCCTACGAGACCAACTCCATTTCCTCCCTTCTCCTCATTCTCCCCTCTTTTTTGGTTCGTACCTCTGGAAAACAGAAGCAAGCCAGCCGGTCTTCTTCCCTTCACTGCCATCATCCCCGCGACCCACGTGCCTGCGCGACCCCTTCCGGTCCCTCTCCCCTTCCTCCTCCGACTCCTCATCCTCATCCTCCCCTCCCCACTCCGCGTCCTCCTCTTCCTCCAGCTCAGCTTCTCGGTCCATCATGCTCTTCCCCACCTTTGCCACGTCAACAACCTCCACGTCAGTGTCGTGATCCGAAGCTTCCGAGAAGTCCTGCCGCTCCAGAGCCGGCCCGTCGTTATCCCACTTCCGCATCTGCTTCTTCGGTTTCTTTGATTCGCTTTCCGACGCGCTTCCGTCGGTTTTTCCGTCGGATTTCCCGCCGCCCTTGGCGGGATTCAGCGGGAAATCGAAAAGCCCGTTACCGGTTTTCTTCGCCGAAGCCTGCTTGCTGCGGTTCGCGCGGTTACGCAGCTTCGAGACGTCAAACGCGCCGGCGGAGGAGACGGCCGAGCTGCTGCTGGGACGGCTAGCCGGCTGCTCGGCCTCGCTGTTAGCCGCTCCGTCCTCATCGCCGGTATCGTCGCTCCCACTGTCTCCGCCATCTTTCGCCACGCCTCCCTTTCTCTGATTGGCTCCTGTTCCTTTCCCTTTCCCCGCTCCCGTGGCCTTATTCATGCCTTTACCCTTTTTCGTCTCGCCGAAATTGGTAACCTGCTTCGGCCGCTTCAACTCGTTCGCATGCTGTTCAGATTCGCGAAGCAGCTGCTTGAAAACGTCGTCGAAATCCGGGTAAGACGTTTTCTTCGGATCGTAGTGTCCATCCGCAAACTCATCCCTAACAGCTGTCAACAGATCATCCACATAAAGCAACTGCAGCATACGTTGATACACCGCCACGAACACCAACCCTAACTCGTTATGGAAGGACCACTTTAACGTATAAGCCGACTGGTCCTTGGCGTTATACTGGAACGTCTTCTCGCCGGACCGCTCCTGCAGCAGGCAGTTCTGAATCAGCGCGTCGATCGGCGAGCCTTTCATGGCCGTCATCTGAAACGTCCAGAGGACGAGCCCGCCGCGCGTAAAGATCGAGAAATGGTCCAACATCGTGACGGCTTCAGTTGCCCGCGATGCTAACTAGTCAGGTCGATACGGTTCACAGAATAAGTTGCAAACCCTCCTGAAGCTACTCCTAATCTGAAAAACGTATCTGGATTGCGGGATCTATTCGAGCTGATGACATGGGCGAGTCTGAATCTCCCGTGTGGTGGAATGCGATGCGATGTCTTTATAGTGCCATAAACTAGCATATATGAGCGGTTGAGAAGGGTGACCAACTTTTGAGGGAAGCCCACATCTTCCTCCGAACCGAACGGGGCGGACGGAACGCGTCGGTGGGAATGACGGAGATCCAACGGATGTGTGCGTCTGGTTGTAATCTGGTGAGACGATAAGAATCGAGTTTGTGTGGGCCTCGATATTAACGAAAGGCTACGTGCTCTACACGGTTCCTGTTCGCTTGATGTACACAACGAGTATAACATGCATTTTAGGAGATTCCATCACAAGTTATGCATTCAATAGCATCCATGAGGGACACCTTACCATACCACAAGTAGATTTTGCGTATTCTCCAAGGAAAAAATATATACACGCCATAAGTGAATACAATAACAATTTATAACGACCCCACTGTACACTCCCATGATGCATTTTGTATCAAGCACTGCATGAAATGGGTTAAGGGGCAAGCAGCCCACCATCCATGTATAGCTAAAAGACATCATGCATCCTCTTCACTGCTCTCGGCTGGGAGCAGGGGCAGGTCAACTGTCCGGCCGTACACAAAAGTTCTAAGCAGTGGCGGCACCTCTACTTGCGCCAGCCAAGCACTCAGAGCTGCTCCCTCCACCGTCTCATTATCTGGTGCGATGCATAAAAATGTGGGTGGGAGTATATGGAGAAACAATGAATGGCTGTGGGAATTGACACTTAGGAAAAAGGAAGAAGACAACATTTGAGGACATTTGAGGAGAAACAGTACAAAGAAGCAGGTATAGGTGCACCTTCAACCATCAATTTCCAGGCAACCTCACCTTGCAGCGTCCTTCCCAGGTCTTCCAGCAGCCCTCTGTTGCACACCAGCACAGCCCGCGCCACCTCTAAAGCATCCTGCAGCAGCTGTTGCACCTCATCCTGCACCTCATCCAATCCGACAACCTCCCCTACGCAAGACTGAGACACCTCGACTCGCACCTCATCCTGCACCTGATCTCACACCTTCCACTGGTCCTTCCCCCCAAGGCAACAATCACAAGGCAGTCTCAAGTCTCACCTTGCAGCGTCCTTCCCAGGTCTTCCAGAAGCCCTTTGTTGCACACCAGCACCGCCCGGGCCACCTCTAGAGCCGCCTGCAGCAGCTGTTGCACCTCATCCTGCACCTGGTCCGACAGCCTCCCCTGGTCCTTCCCCCCCCAGGAAAACCCTCCCCCTCCGTCCAAACCCTCCTCCCGCCAGGGTACCCACTGACATTGGACCTATGGTCCCACTCAGCCCATATTCTGCTACTGCCTTATATGCCACGTCTGTAGCACGGCGAATGTCGTCTACTGCTCCTGTAGAGATTCTCCCGCCAAAACAGACGTCTTCTGCCGCCCGGCCCCCTAGAAGGACGGCGAGCTGGCCACGGAGCTCGTCGACAAACACTAGAAGACGCTCCTCGCCGTCCGCTGGGGGCGGCATGTAGGCGAATCCTAATGCGCCGCCCGACCGGGGTACGATGGAGATTTTTTGGACTACCCGTTGGTCAGGTAAAACTTTTGCAATGGCTGCCCCCAGCAGCGCATGGCCTGCTTCATGCCGTGCTACCACAGCTTTTTCTGCCCGGCCCAAAGCTGACCGTTTCTTCTCAATTCCCTGTGAACAAGGGAAAAATAGAATCGCATGTGGATAAACAACAATGAATCAAACATCAACTGCACATAAAGGACATACACGGCGTGCACAACGCAAAGCAACAGCCACACACACACAGCAAGAACCACACTCATAGCAACAACCGCTCACAGCAAGAACCACACTCATAGCAACAACCGCTCACAGCAAGAACCACACTCATAGCAACAACCGCTCACAGCAAGAACCACACTCATAGCAACAACCGCTCACAGCAAGAACCACACTCATAGCAACAACCGCTCACAGCAAGAACCACACTCATAGCAACAACCGCTCACAGCAAGAACCACACTCATAGCAACAACCGCTCACAGCAAGAACCACACTCATAGCAACAACCGCTCACAGCAAGAACCACACTCATAGCAACAACCGCTCACAGCAAGAGCCCGCTCAACAGCACTATCAAAGTCCTGCCTTGTTTCCTCCTTGTGGCCCCTCCTCGGTGTTATTCTCCGTCTTCACCACTCCCTAAAGTCAGAGTCCCCAATCAGCCACACTCACTGCAAGCGCTCACTGAACAGCGCTGCACTCTGCGCTGCAATCTCTCCTCGTAATCACACTCCTCGTTCAGCCACACTCACTGCAAGCGCTCACTGAACAGCGCTGCACTCAGCGCTGCAATCTCTCCTCGTAATCACACTCCTCGTTCAGCCACACTCACCGCAAGCGCTCACTGAACAGCGCTGCACTCTGCGCTGCAATCTCTCCTCGTAATCACACTCCTCGTTCAGCCACACTCACTGCAAGCGCTCACTGAACAGCGCTGCACTCTGCGCTGCAATCTCTCCTCGTAATCACACTCCTCGTTCAGCCACACTCACTGCAAGAGCCCGTTCAACAGCGCTGTCAAAGTCCTGCTTGGTCACCTCCTCGTGGTCCCTCCTCATTGTTCATCTCACATCCCATGCCGGCCACTCATTGCAATCACGCACTCCTACCAGCCACACTCACCGCAAGAGCTCGTTCAACTGCACTGTCAAAGTCCTGCTTAGTGACCTCCTCGTGGTCCCTCCTTATTGTTCATCTCACATCCCATGTCAGTCACTCATTGTAATCACAGCACTCACCGCAAGAGCCCGTTCAACAGCACTATCAAAGTCCTGCTTAGTGACCTCCTCGTGGTCCCTCCTTGCTGCCAGCAGCGCTGCCTCGTTCACCAGATTCGCCAAATCAGCCCTGGAATGGGGGGGGACGGGGAAGAAGGGGGGGGACGGGGAAGAAGGGGGGGACGGGAAGAAGGGGGGGGAACGGGGAAGAAGGGGGGGGACGGGGAAGAAGGGGGGGGACGGGGAAGAAGGGGGGGGACGGGGAAGAAGGGGGGGGACGGGGAAGAAGGGGGGAGGACGGGGAAGAAGGGGTGGGGACGGGGCAAGAAGGGGGGGGTTACAGCCTGGCCAGTGGAAGGAAGGGGGGGTACAGCATGACGTGAGGGGGTACAGCATGACAGTGAGGGGGTACAGCATGACAGTGAGGGGGTACAGCATGACAGTGAGGGGTACAGCATGACAGTGAGGGGGTACAGCATGACAGTGAGGGGGTACAGCATGACAGTGATGGGGTACAGCATGACAGTGAGGGGGTTACAGCATGACAGTGAGGGGGTACAGCATGACAGTGAGGGGGTACAGCATGACAGTGAGGGGGTACAGCATGACAGTGAGGGGGTACAGCATGACAGTGAGGGGGTACAGCATGACAGTGAGAGGGGTACAGCATGACAGTGAGGGGGTACAGCATGACAGTGAGGGGGTACAGCATGACAGTGAGGGGGTACAGCATGACAGTGAGGGGGTACAGCATGACAGTGAGGGGGTACAGCATGACAGTGAGGGGGTACAGCATGACAGTGAGGGGGTACAGCATGACAGTGAGGGGGTACAGCATGACAGTGAGGGGGTACAGCATGACAGTGAGGGGGTACAGCATGACAGTGAGGGGGTACAGCATGACAGTGAGGGGGTACAGCATGACAGTGAGGGGGTACAGCATGACAGTGAGGGGGTACAGCATGACAGTGAGGGGGTACAGCATGACAGTGAGGGGTACAGCATGACAGTGAGGGGGTACAGCATGACAGTGAGGGGGTACAGCATGACAGTGAGGGGTACAGCATGACAGTGAGGGGGTACAGCATGACAGTGAGGGGGGTACAGCATGACAGTGAGGGGGTACAGCAGGACAGTGAGGGGGTACAGCATGACAGTGAGGGGGTACAGCATGACAGTGAGGGGGTACAGCATGACAGTGAGGGGGTACAGCATGACAGTGAGGGGGTACAGCATGACAGTGAGGGGGTACAGCATGACAGTGAGGGGGTACAGCATGACAGTGAGGGGGTACAGCATGACAGTGAGGGGGTACAGCATGACAGTGAGGGGGTACAGCATGACAGTGAGGGGGTACAGCATGACAGTGAGGGGGTACAGCATGACAGTGAGGGGGTACAGCATGACAGTGAGGGGGTACAGCATGACAGTGAGGGGGTACAGCATGACAGTGAGGGGGTACAGCATGACAGTGAGGGGGTACAGCATGACAGTGAGGGGGTACAGCATGACAGTGAGGGGGTACAGCATGACAGTGAGGGGGTACAGCATGACAGTGAGGGGGTACAGCATGACAGTGAGGGGGTACAGCATGACAGTGAGGGGGTACAGCATGACAGTGAGGGGGTACAGCATGACAGTGAGGGGGTACAGCATGACAGTGAGGGGGTACAGCATGACAGTGAGGGGGTACAGCATGACAGTGAGGGGGTACAGCATGACAGTGAGGGGGTACAGCATGACAGTGAGGGGGTACAGCATGACAGTGAGGGGGTACAGCATGACAGTGAGGGGGTACAGCATGACAGTGAGGGGGTACAGCATGACAGTGGAGGGGGTACAGCATGACAGTGAGGGGGTACAGCATGACAGTGAGGGGGTACAGCATGACAGTGAGGGGGTACAGCATGACAGTGAGGGGGGGTACAGCATGACAGTGAGGGGGTACAGCATGACAGTGAGGGGGGTACAGCATGACAGTGAGGGGGTACAGCATGACAGTGAGGGGGTACAGCATGACAGTGAGGGGGGTACAGCATGACAGTGAGGGGGTACAGCATGACAGTGAGGGGGTACAGCATGACAGTGAGGGGGTACAGCATGACAGTGAGGGGGTACAAGCATGACAGTGAGGGGGGGTACAGGGGGGGCATGACAGTGAGGGGGTACAGCATGACAGTGAGGGGGTACAGCATGACGTGAGGGGGTACAGCATGACAGTGAGGGGGTACAGCATGACAGTGAGGGGGTACAGCATGACAGTGAGGGGGTACAGTACAGCATGACAGTGAGGGGGTACAGGCATGACAGTGAGGGGGTACAGCATGACAGTGAGGGGGTACAGCATGACAGTGAGGGGTACAGCATGACAGTGAGGGGGTACAGCATGACAGTGAGGGGTACAGCATGACAGTGAGGGGTACAGCATGACAGTGAGGGGTACAGCATGACAGTGAGGGGTACAGCATGACAGTGAGGGGGTACAGCATGACAGTGAGGGGGTACAGCATGACAGTGAGGGGGTACAGCATGACAGTGAGGGGGTACAGCATGACAGTGAGGGGGTACAGCATGCATGACAGTGAGGGGGTACAGCTGACAGTGAGGGGTACAGCATGACAGTGAGGGGGTACAGCATGACAGTGAGGGAGGTACAGCATGACAGTGAGGGTACAGCATGACAGTGAGGGGTACAGCATGACAGTGAGGGGGTACAGCATGAACAGTGAGGGGGGTACAGCATGACAGTGAGGGGTACAGCATGACAGTGAGGGGGTACAGCATGACAGTGAGGGGGTACAGCATGACAGTGAGGGGGTACAGCATGACAGTGAGGGGGTACAGCATGACAGTGAGGGGGTACAGCATGACAGTGAGGGGTTACAGCATGACAGTGAGGGGGGTACAGCATGACAGTGAGGGGGTACAGCATGACAGTGAGGGGGTAGCATGACAGTGAGGGGGTACAGCATGACAGTGAGGGGGTACAGCATGACAGTGAGGGGGTACAGCATGACAGTGAGGGGGTACAGCATGACAGTGAGGGGGTACAGCATGACAGTGAGGGGGTACAGCATGACAGTGAGGGGGTACAGCATGACAGTGAGGGGGTACAGCATGACAGTGAGGGGGTACAGCATGACAGTGAGGGGGTACAGCATGACAGTGAGGGGGTACAGCATGACAGTGAGGGGTACAGCATGACAGTGAGGGGGTACAGCATGACAGTGAGGGGTACAGCATGACAGTGAGGGGTACAGCATGACAGTGAGGGGGTACAGCATGACAGTGAGGGGGTACAGCATGACAGTGAGGGGGTACAGCATGACAGTGAGGGTACCTGAGGGGTACAGCATGACAGTGAGGGGGTACAGCATGACAGTGAGGGGGTACAGCATGACAGTGAGGGGTTAGTACAGCCATAAGAACACCACATCTCCTCGTGGTCCCGGGAGGGAAATTTGTTGCAGCGTATGTTTTTTGAGAATTCTCAAAAAACATACGCTGCAACAAATTTCCCTCCTACAGCATGACAGTGAGGGGGTAAAGAACAGCACATCTTCTCGTGGTCCCTCCTCCTTGCTGCTAGCCACATTGCTTTGTGCACCAGATTTGCCAAAACAACTTAGCAATGAAGGGAAGGCAAGGAGGCCGGATGTGTCAGGGTGCTGCATGGCAGTGGGGCAGTGAGATAAACGGATGTTATAATCACTTTTGAAAAGTCTCAAAACTAATCTCTTGATGTTCTCTCCTTGCTGTCTCGTTCACCGAATTTGCCCAAGGGGTTGATGAGGGGGCCATATCATCTCAACCATCTAAACACACGCATGCACGCACGCACGCACACACACACTCACTCACTCACCCAGTGAATCCGCTTGTGGAAACAGCAATCTCCTGAATGTCCACATCGGTGCTCAGAGGTAGCTCTTTCTGCTCCACATCTCAACCCATCCCAACCCCTCCCAACCCATGCACATACCCCGTAAATCCGCTGGTGGCGACAGCGATTTCCTGAATGTCCACATCGGTGCTCAGAGGTAGCTCCTTGTGCTCCACATGCACCGTCAGTATGGCCTCCCTCCCCTTGCGATCCGGAGGCTCCACCTGAGAGTGGGAGTGTGGGTTTGGAAGAAGATATGTGGCTGTGGTGTGAGTCTGTGAGATGGGATGGCATGTTGCTGCATCAGCTAGTGGCAGCTCCTTGTGCTCCACATGCACCGTCAGTATGGCCTCCCTCCCCTTGCGATCAGGAGGCTCCACCTGAGAGGGTGAGTATGTGTGTGTGTGTGTGGTGGTGGTGCGGAGGTGGAGGAGAGGGTACACATATGGAAGAAGGGATGGGAAGCAGAGATCGGAAGAAGAAGAAGAGATCGGTCACATGGGGTTGTGGCAGCTCTTTCTGCTCCACATGCACTGTCAGTATGGCATCAAGACCCATCAAGCCCCATTACCACACACACAGAACAGCACGCCAAACAGCTGTTTGATGCTATGCTACCACACTGAACGAATCTGCACACACACTACACCACCCCCCACCGTTCCTCACCGCTACAATCCGGTCGAACCGCCCTGGGCGGCGCAGGGCGGGGTCGATGACGTCTGCCCTGTTGGTGGCTGCGAGGACAATGACTGCAGTGCTGCTGTCAAACCCGTCCATCTCCTGTGGTGACAGATGGAAGAGCGCACAACATGGGTGTAAAGCACGCAAGCAAGCACAGTAGTGTGAGGCGCCTCAAAAGAGCGCACAACATGGGTGTAAAGCACGCAAGCAAGCACAGTAGTGTGAGGCGCCTCAAAAGAGCGCACAACATGGGTGTAAAGCAAGCAAGCAAGCACAGTAGTGTGAGCACGCACGCGTGATTTGAGGCGCCTCAAAAGAGCGCACAACATGGGTGTAAAGCACGCGTGTTTTGAGGCGCCTCAAAAGAGCGCACAACATGGGTGTAAAGCACGCGTGTTTTGAGGCGCCTCAAAAGAGCGCACAACATGGGTGTAAAGCACGCGTGTTTTGAGGCGCCTCAAAAGAGCGCACAACATGGGTGTAAAGCACGCGTGTTTTGAGGCGCCTCAAAAGAGCGCACAACATGGGTGTAAAGCACGCGTGTTTTGAGGCGCCTCAAAAGAGCGCACAACATGGGTGTAAAGCACGCGTGTTTTGAGGCGCCTCAAAAGAGCGCACAACATGGGTGTAAAGCACGCGTGTTTTGAGGCGCCTCAAAAGAGCGCACAACATGGGTGTAAAGCACGCGTGTTTTGAGGCGCCTCAAAAGAGCGCACGACATGGGTGTAAAGCACGCGTGTTTTGAGGCGCCTCAAAAGAGCGCACAACATGGGTGTAAAGCACGCGTGTTTTGAGGCGCCTCAAAAGAGCGCACAACATGGGTGTAAAGCACGCGTGTTTTGAGGCGCCTCAAAAGAGCGCACGACATGGGTGTAAAGCACGCGTGTTTTGAGGCGCCTCAAAAGAGCGCACGACATGGGTGTAAAGCACGCGTGTTTTGAGGCGCCTCAAAAGAGCGCACGACATGGGTGTAAAGCACGCGTGTTTTGAGGCGCCTCAAAAGAGCGCACGACATGGGTGTAAAGCACGCGTGTTTTGAGGCGCCTCAAAAGAGCGCACGACATGGGTGTAAAGCACGCGTGTTTTGAGGCGCCTCAAAAGAGCGCACGACATGGGTGTAAAGCACGCGTGCACGGTAGTGTGAGGACAATCACGCAGGGCAGAGTCAATGGCGTCTGCCTCGTTGGTAGTTGCAAGGACAATCACCGCTGTACTGTAGTGGAGGATACAAGGTTGCATTGAAAGCAGAAGAGGCACATACATAGGTACATAGGTGTCACTGGCTCACAAGCACGCTCTGTACATGGATGTATATGAGCAAATACAGACCAACCTACCCACCCCCTGACTCACCCACTCACCGTGAGCAGTTGGTTCAGGGTCTCCTCCCTCTTGTCATTACCCACACTGCGCATGCGCCCGTGCAATCACCCGCTCAAGCACACACAAACACACACTCCTACTCTTCCAACAACTCACAAACCCCCCCCACTCACAGTGAGCAGCTGGTTCAGGGTCTGCTCCCTCTCGTCGTTTCCCACACTGCGCATGCGCCCATCCCGCACCTTGGCCACTGCATCGATCTGCCAAAGGGAAGAGAGGGAAGAGAGAGGGAAGAGAGAGGGAGAGATTGCACACAGGAGAAGAGATGGGAAAGAGCACGAATCAAATCACTAGCTTGCTGGCATCAATACATCGCACATTGCGCATGCGCCCATCCCGCACCTTGGCCACTGCATCAATCTGTCGAGGGAGAGACAGAGGGGATGGAACGAGGTGAACGAGGTGACTTTTCAGTCGACTCAAAAGTCACCTCGAGACAGAGGGGATGGAACGAGGTGAACGAGGTGACTTTTCAGTCGACTCAAAAGTCACCTCGAGACAGAGGGGATGGAACGAGGTGAACGAGGTGACTTTTCAGTCGACTCAAAAGTCACCTCGAGACAGAGGGGATGGAACGAGGTGAACGAGGTGACTTTTCAGTAGACTCAAAAGTCACCTCGAGACAGAGGGGATGGAACGAGGGAGAAGGTGACTTGACCAGTTGTGTGTGTGTTTTGGGCATAAAACAACTCAAAAAAACCACACACACACAACTGGTCATGACTCATAACCTTGGACGGTTGCAGTTGGACTTATGAGTCGGTTCAAGTGCTGCTCGCACAAATAAAGGACTCCCATACGAGCTCGCCTCATCACTGGACACGACAAAGGGCGAGTCCTTCATGATTCGTGCGAACAGCTTTCTATTCAACTCACAAGACATTTGGGTCACTGGTCATGAAGAAGAGCTGCAGCGTGAGGGATCGCTGCAGCTCTTCTTCATGACCAGTGACCCGTGGGACTTCAACTCACAAGACATTTTTCTTTCGAGGCGTAACCTGGTCCTGCCATACACTCACCTCATCAATCAACAAGACGGGGGGCGAGCCCTTCTATATGCGTGCAAACAGCTCTGAAGTCTACTCAAAAGTCCTCTGGCCCGGTCACTATCACTCTCTCACTATAAGCAGAACCCGTTACAAGCTCACCTCATCAATAAACACGATAGACGGCGAGTCCTTCTTTGCCTGCGCGAACAGCTCTCTCACTCGCGACGCACCCAGGCCCACATACAGCTCCACAAACTCGCTACCGCTGGCAGCTTATAAAGGGTACGTCTGCCTCCCCAGCCACTGCCTTGGCCAGCATCGTCTTTCCCGTGCCTGGCGGCCCAACCTGAAAGGCAGGCTCGGCAAACAGGGGAAAAAGGCCAGAGGAGGTTTAGCTGAGGAAACTTCTGCGTTCGCTAATTTGGTTACGACTTAGATTGGGCTCCTAAGAAGCCATAACGATGAGTAGGACTCACTCGAAAGCATCAAATTTGAGACCACGCCACTGAAGGTGGAAAAGCATACAAGCAAGCAACATTGTGTGAGGGAACCATGAGCCAGCAGGCAGCACAGCACACGCCCTCACCAGCAGCACAGCACACGCCCTCACCAGCAGCACAGCACACGCCCTCACCAGCAGCACTCCTCTGGGAGGTCTGGCCCCCAGTCGAGTGAAACGCTCCGGCGTGCGGAGATACTCCTGGGGTGGTGAGGCGGGGCGGGGCGGGGAGAAGCAAAAAAGGAGATGAAGCAGAAACCAAAAGAACCGGATTTTATTTAGTAAAGCCTAGGCGTGCTAAGGTGCCCCTGGGGTGGCGAAAGGAGGAGAGAGAGAGGCAAGAATGAAATAGATGAAGAAGAAACCAGATAGGGGAGATAAAGTGCTTAATCAGTCAAGCTGACTTTGAGTCGACTCAAAAGTCACCAGATAGGGGAGATAAAGTGTTTAATCAGTCAAGCTTCGGCGGCACAAAGGTCCTCCTCGGATTTCGAAGCAAGGATGAGAGAAGAAAGCTGGACAATGAGTCACCAGGGGAGATAAAGTAGGGGAAAAGGAGACCCTCCTTCACACACTCGCCCCACCCCTTCGTCCCACCACTTACCAAGATCTCCTCCAATTCCTCTTTCGCCTCATCCACCCCCATATAGCCCACACCCTCCCTCCTCTCCCCTCCCCTCCCCTCCCCTCCCCTCCCCTCCCCTCCCCTCCCCTCCCCTCCCCTCCCCTCCCCTCCCTTCCCCTCCCCCTCCCCCTTCACCAACACTCGGCCCACTTACCACGATCTCCTCTAGCTCCTCTTTCGCCTCATCCACCCCTGCCACGTCAGCAAACAGCACTGGCGGCGACTTGCCCTTCTGACTGCGTGCCTTACCCCCAAACTTTGGACATGCCACGTGGATGAAAGGATGGACAGAGTTTGAATGGCATGCCTCATGGAAGGATGGAGAAAAAATATGAATTGCCATGCCACGTGGAGAAATGGATGGGCAGAGTTGGGACGGACAGAGTTGGGACGGACAGAGTTGGGACGGACATCAGATGGGAGGATGGGTGGATGAGTGAAAGCAAACGATACGGCATTAACGCACTTATAACAGCCAGCAGCAGAGTGGAGTGGCGTGCATCAAGCACCCTTTTAAGAAAGGCTTTTGCGTAAACTATTTCTTTTTTTCATCACACGCGGATTATATGTGGAGTGGAGAGCCAGCAGCAGAGTGGAATGGAGTAGCGTGCTGCGTGCATCAAATGCCCCCTTAAGAAAATTGTCTCAGCAAACGCACATTATATGTGGAGAGACAGGGCCCCAGCAGCAGAGTGGAGTGGAGTCGAGTCGAGCGGTGTGCATCGAATGCCCCCATGCGGATTCCACCACCTGTCAATCGCCCCCTCGCAACTAAACTCACCTCATACGCTGATCCCTTCACTAACCTGTGCGCGTGCGTGTGATGAGTCGCTTTTTGAGTCGACTCAAAAATCGCCCCCTCGCGACTTAACTAACCTCGTACGCGAATCCCTTCACTAACCTGTGCGCGTGTGATGAGTCGCTTTTTGAGTCGACTCAAAAATCGCCCCCTCGCGACTTAACTCACCTCATACGCGAATCCCTTCACTAACCTGTGGGAGCTTCATTTGCAAGCGCGAGAGCACGACCGCTGCTATGCCTGCGTACAGGAGAGTGGACTGGGAAGGATAGTGCAGGGACGCAGATGCGAGGGCATGGCAAGGAGGGCATGGAAGGAGGGCATGGCAAGGAGGGCATGGCAAGGAGGGCATGGCAACGGGAAAGATAAGAAAAATAAAGGAGTGAGACTGAAAATCATCACCACACACACACTTACCACACACACACACACACACACACACACTCTCACCACACCACCCTCTCTGCACACGTCCCCACTCCACACACACTCTCTCACATGGCTGCACTGCCCTCAGACGTCCCCGCTCCACACACACGAATTCCACCCCCACTCGTATATTCTCACTACACTTACCCCTCTCTCCCCGTTTCCCCCTTTCTCCCCCCTTTCCCCTCTCTCCCCGTTTCCCCTTTTCTCCCCCCTTTCCCCTCTCTCCCCGTTTCCCCCTTTCTCTCCCCTTTCCCCCCTCTCTCCCAGTTTCCCCCTTCTCCCCCCTTTCCCCTCTCTCCCCGTTTCCCCCTTTCTCCCCCCTTTCCCCTCTCTCCCCGTTTCCCCCTTTCTCCCCCCTTTCCCCTCTCTCCCCGTTTCCCCCTTTCTCCCCCCTTTCCCCTCTCTCCCCGTTTCCCCCTTTCTCCCCCCTTTCCCCTCTCTCCCCGTTCCCCCTTTCTCCCCCCTTTCCCCCCCTTTCCCCCTCTCTCCCCGTTCCCCCTTTCTCCCCCTTTCCCCTCTCTCCCCGTTTCCCCCTTTCTCCCCCCTTTCCCCTCTCTCCCCGTTTCCCCTTTTCTCCCCCCTTTCCCCTCTCTCTCCCGTTTCCCCCTTTCTCCCCCCTTTCCCCCCTCTCTCCCAGTTTCCCCTTCTCCCCCCTTTCCCCTCTCTCCCCGTTTCCCCCC